ATTTCACACTCCCAACACACGTCAAATTTCATTAACATCTGTTCAGCCATTTACTCGTGCAAAGGTGACATACAGTCAGACAGACAAACTTTCGCATCTGTAACATTAGTATGAACGTTTTTAATAGACAGTTAAAAATTAAAAAATAATTGTGAATGTTAAAAAAAATTACTAGCGTCCGAGTCGAGACGTTGCTTAGACGGCCGATCATTTGCACAATACAGTCTCACAGTTTGGCAATTTCTAAAACATGCAACACTTGTGAATAGGGTTGCCACTTGGAATATAATAACGTATATTGTTTTTATATACTTAAATCAAATCAACCGGTTTTCTCAAGAGACTATAGCATGAGGTTTTTCAAGAAACTTTAATATACCCGATATCAAGAAGGATATATTAAAGTTTCTTAAGGGTCGACAAAGAGTACGTGACACCCCTGGTGTCTAAGGCGCCCATAGGGTACGGTATCATTTACCATCAGATGGGCCGTATGCTTGCTTTGTTTGCCACCGTAGTAGTATAAAACAAATCGAAAATTATGATATATATGTAGGACCTTTCGTCGTAGTACATCGTATAACGTCAATTTTTTTTTGTATTATAATGCTTCTCTATCGTCCAGTTCAGTATACAAATTCAATTGAAAATAACTGGGAAGAAATTTATTAGACAAACTACACAGCGCCATCTAGTCCCAAGCTAAGCAGAGCTATACATATATGTGAATTAATATTATGAAACTAATAAGCTGATATTGTCTGTGTGGCCTCAGCAGTGACGATGGCAATCTGCCATGGTAGCGCCGATACACCACACCCTTCGGCCAGTAGTCCTTCTTCATGAAGGTGAGAAACATGTTGGTGGTGACCCGGGCCAAAAACGCCTTGAAACTAGCGTTGTGACTCGACTCCTATCTCACCCTCAATGTCAGAGAGGTCTCTGCTTCAATGCGTTTGTGGCCCAGGTCACCATCAACATGTTTCCCACCTCGATGAAGAAGGGTTCGTATATAATCGACAATGTCCTTTTTGAAGACACATTCATAATGTATATGGTACATAGAAAATATATAATATAGCGGAATTAAAGGAAATAATTTAGATCCATTAAGTAAATACATAGTAAACACCTAGACCAATATAATGAATCATATTTATGAACAATAATATTTACACCATGCGAGGAATCGAATCAACGACTAGCGGAAATTAAGGTATTATAAACCGGTAGACCACCGATGATTTATGGTAGAGTTGCCAACCGTCCTGTTTTTCCAAGGACATGTCCTAGTTTTTCTAATGTCCTGGGTTGTCCTGGATAGTTTTTAAGTAGCGTCCTGGCTTTTTAAAACGCCCTGATAAGATCATGTATTATCAAAATTCGCGCGCCATTTTTACAATGGCTGCTCGAATTGTAGAGTTAAATATTAAAGACTGATTATTACCATTACTTGACGACCTCGGTGGTCTAGCGGTCTAGCACACCGCTTTACGACCGATGGTCGCGGGTTCAATTCCTCGCACGGCACAAACATTTGTATTCATGAGTATGATTGTTTGTATCGGTCTGGGTGTTTTCTATGTACAATATGTATTTATTTACAAAAAAAAATCTATGTATATGTATCAGTTATCTAGTACCCATAACACAAGCTTTAGCTAGTTTATCTTGGGTCTAGATGGTGCTGTGTGAATTGTCCTGAGATTATTATTATTATTATTATTATTACTTGAATTTTATTAATTTAGCCTATTGACATAATATAATTATAACAAGTATATTACTGAGTCCTGGTTTTAAACTAAATTGCCCTGGGTTTTCCAACTTCAAATCCTAGTTTTTAAATTTGGTGTTGGCAAGCCTAATTTATGGTCTAATCTAAGATGAATATGCATGGACTACAAAATCTTTAAAAAATACTATATTCTGACAACTCAAGAAAACAGTATAATATTGTTTTGTTTTTAGATAGGTGTCAACCCTACTGGTGGGAGAGAGGTAAGGCTGTTTTAGACTATTTGGTAATGAGGTTTGAGTTAGCGGCCTGCAATATGGTATACGAAATACTGTTTATTAACCTTGTCTTGGTCAAAATAAATCTAAACATTTGTTTTTAGTTTACGTGAGTAGGAAACAAGCTTACGGCCCACCAGATGGTATACTTTATTTATGTATTTCATTCAGGCAATTTCAAATTATTTATGTAACAATATTGACCCATATAGATCTTACGGACCTTTCTTATTTTATTTTTTACTAGCTACTCGCCCCGGCTTCGCACGGGTGTACTTGTATTAATATATAAACCTTCCTCTAGAATCACGCTATCTATTAAAAAAACCGCTTCAAAATCCGTTGCGTAGTTTTGAAAGATTTAAGCATACATAGGGCCCGACAGACAGCGACACCAACTTTGTTTTATACTATGTAATGATGATATAATAATAATAATAATAAATAATATAATAATATAGTCTTTGGGGGGAAGGGAGTTAGTAATAGCCCACATTACTAACTCCCTTCCCCCCCCCAAAGACAGACCTGACTGTTGACCCCATTGCTACGCGGTACCCCCTGGGAACAATCGTGACAAATTCCTAGTAAATTTACTACTCCATTATCATCCATAAAAAAACTGCTTAAAAACTTTGTGTATCTGTATGTTAAAATTGCAAAAGGGAACCTGTTACCTGATTGCCAGCTGGCGCTCAGTAAGGACAACCGGTACTAAAAATGTCTCTATATATATAATTTTCGAGTTATTATACTTTAAACCTGTCTTTGTAAACGAATAAAGTACAATATTAATAGTAGCTTTATAATATTGACGACCTCGGTGATCTAGCTGTTTAACACACCGCTTTACGCCCTATGATGACGGGTTCGATTCCTCGCACGGTGCTATCATTTGTATTTATGGGTATGATTGTTTGTATCGGTCTGGATGTTTATTGAGTATGAATTTCAAAAATTATTTATATCAGTATATTTTTATTAAAAAATTTAAAAAAATCATTTAATTTTATTCTGACAAGTGATCTTATAATTTCCTTAATATTTATCATTCAAGTGTTAGCTAGTACATATTTTGTATATTGTACTGATCGCCATTCAATATTTCTACTTATATCATTTACAATATTAAAATGGATTATTTGAAATCGATACGTCCGTACATTCATTACGAATCAGTAACGGATAGTGGGTGATTAACTTGAATTGAACGATTCACTTTCATTTCGTAGTCATTTAAAATAATAATAGCCTTACTCACGTCAACAGATAATGAATATCGTATAACTACATTGTTGAAGGCCTCGGTGGTCTGGCGGTTTAAAACACTGCTTTACGTCCAATGGTCGCGGGCTCGATTCCTCGTACGGTGCAAACATTTGTATTCATGGATATGAATGTTTGTATCGGTCTGGGTCTTTTCTATGTATATTATGTATGTATTTACAAAAAATATATATGTAATACCCATAACACAAGCTCTGCTTACCGGTGAATATGTCACGATGAGCAAACTGACCTAACCTCATGCGCATCTTATCATCCTCCACTGGTGCTCTACCAGCGTAAACCGATAGAGCTGGCGGATGCACCATTCCATATCTATGTAAAATTATTATGAAAACATATACATAATACCGAGAATGTAACACAAATCTACGCATTGAATTATAAAAAAACATCTATAAATAAAAAATAGTTTAGTTCCGTAGCCATTCTGTGGCAATACATGAGGAACTACTATATTCCTCCATATATTTGACCAACAATCGAGAAAGAAATCTTACTTATAAAATAAAAATGGCGCCAAAGTCACAGCGTCACCACGTGACACATATGCGGTAATTACAATGACCTTGTACAAAATTATAACAAGAATGTATACGACCTCCTTCACAAATGCCATTTCTCACAATAATCTATACCTTTTCACTGTGAAGTACCAATCTATATATTTTTTACAGTGAAGTCGTCTGAACAATGTTGTATTAAGCTAAAATTAGTATCTTTTTATTGTAAATAATAATTCTTTCACGTCCATGCCTACATTATCGGGTTGAAAACTGAGTTGTTTTATTAAAGAAAAATACAAACAATATAACAAACCAAGATTTGTTAATTTTTTTTTTCTAATATATAACCTCAAAAATACTGAAAGAATTTAAAAATTCTTTCGATTCCATCCGGGTAAAATATGAGATGTTTTATTTTTTTTTAAATAAAACATCTCATATTTCACCCGGACACTATTATAACGAAATAAGATTTGTTTCTTTTTTATAATACATAACCTCAAAAACACTTAACAAACTGCAAAATATCTTTGACATCCATGCCTACACTATCTGGGTTTAGGTGAGATGTATTATTAAAAAAAAACAGACAATATTATAACGAAATAAGATTTGTTTATTTTTTTTTTTGTAATAGATAACCTCAAAAACACTTAACGAACTGTGAAAATTCTTTCACCTCCAAGCCTACATTTTCTCGGCGAAACATGAGAACTAAGATTTTTTTTTGTAGAGGATAACCTCAAAAATGCTGAACGAATTGTAAAAATTCTTTCACCTACATTATCAGAGCGAATCATAAATGTATATTTTATAAAAAAATAAATAGATCCGTACAATGTCTACAGCTGTCTAGTCGCACACATACATTTATATTCGTGTATGATTTTTTGTATTGGCCTAGGTGTTTACTATACTGTATGCTAATTAATTTATTTAAATATGATCTTCTGGCAAACTTGTACATTAATAATTAAAAATGTCTAGTCATCTTTGCCGTAGATTACACACATAGACACTATACAAGTGAATTACTATGAAATCCCATGCATTATCGGCATTTAGTACGTATGTTAAAAGTTTTGCGAGTTTACCGCTAGATGTCACTGTCGTCTATTATAAATTTTTCTAGAACGCGCTGTTAAGATTTTTTCTCGTAGAATGACCCGGCTGCGGCTGTGAGCGAACGGTAAGACCTTACTTCATAGGATCATTTCTATAGTAAGTTCTCCAACCAGATCTCCCAATATGTGAGGTCACACCAAACCACGATGAGGAGACGTGGCGCGGTGTCCTGAGCGTGAGTACTGGCGATGGTGGTTCACCGTCAGCCATCGATGATCGTTCGCTCCCTTCGGGGAGTGTGGGATACTGTCGCTTTCTGAGTGGTTTTTTTAAACATTTTAAATTATAAAGACAACCATTTTCTAGGAATCATTTGTCATCTTTAAGGGCTCTACGGCAGTATGTTAATTTAAAGATTTTTGTTTTATTATATAATAAAAAATATTTTTTATATATACTTACCCGTTTTAAATTTGTCTCGCTCATTATTAATATGTATAAAATAATAAAACACCCAGACAGATATAAACAATCATACTCATGAATACAAATGTTTGTGCTGTGCGAGGAATCGAACCCGTGATTTTAACCGCCATGGTTAAAATGCAGCAGAAATACAGGAACTCAATAAAAAAAATATATAAAACGTGGTAAGATGAATGATGGATGAAGAATAATTAATTACGGTAATAAATCTTTATTACCGTAATTAATTATTCTTCATCCATCCCCAATATGGGTTAGTCACTATCCCCGTTAGTACAACTATTTTTTTTATTTTGACCCCCTTATATTTTTCACATGATATAAAAGGTAGCCAAAATACAATTTATTTAATATATCCTTACTATAATTGTATTTATAGTAAGGATATATATAATTTATTTAATATAGCTTTCGCATTTATATTATTAATATGTATTTGCGTGCTAACGAAAACATATGAAAATTAGTTCTGAGTTTTACTAATTATAAATTCGTAACTAACATCATGATAAAGTCGTGAGTTTGACCTTGTATAATACCTACCAATACACATAAACCGATAAGAGTATGTATTTATTTGGATATTCATTATTTTAGTAATGTACCAACATTATTACTAAAATAATAATAATAACTTATTATTATTATAGTATCGAACTTAAATTACAATAATTAAATCCACTGGACAATTCACACAAAGTCAAATCAAATCCAAAGGACATCAGAGCCTGTGTTAGGGGTACTAGACTACTGATATATGTATGTAAGTATATATACTTAGACATATTTTTTTGTAAATATTGTATTTAAGTATTTATACAAAACATGTCTAAGTATTAAATACATAGAAAACACCAAGAGACCGACACAAACAATCATACTTATGAATATAAAATGTTTGTACCGTCCAAGGAATCGAACCCGCAATTGTCGAAAGTAAAGCGGTGTGCAGAACATCTCCGACCAACCACCGAGACCGTCATATATTTAAAGTTATAAGCAAATCTTATTCTGCAGTAAGTAATTTAGTAGATATTGAAGTTTTTTTATGGATAATACTGGAATGGTGCACGCCTAAGCTAACTGTTTACGCTGGCGGGGCACCAGTAGAGGATAACAAGATGAGCATGATGCTAAGTCAGTTAACCCATCGTGGCAAACTCGCCAAGAATTCGTCACTATGGTTTCCAGGGATTACTGTTGGAGGTCAACTTGACATGGTACATTGCTAGCAATAACATCATCAGTCCACATTGCTAACAATCCTTATTCCCCTCCAATTCAAGTACTTATGCACACTACAATAGCTCTGTGATTGAAGATTTTTTTCGACCTTATATGTGTCTTCCCTCGGCCTTTCGTTGCCCCCGCAAAAAGTTTAATATTAATACATTATTTGATAAATAGTAATTATCAGTTATCATTGCATTAATACTATGATAACGGTATTGATATTATTTTAAACAGGAAAATGTATCAAATTATAATAGTAGCAAATTATAATAATTATACCATACACAATTTATCATTAATTATCTCTATTTAGAAATTAGATAAACAAAATTATTTTATTATCAATTGTAGACAAGTTGAAGGGGAACAGTGAATTAAATCAACTAATAATATAATATAATAATTCATTACTAGCTACTCGCCCCAGCTTCACCTATATATATATATGAACATTCATATAGAATTACTCTTATCTATTAAAAAAACCGTTTCAAAATCTGTTGCATATTTTTAAAGATTTAAACATACATAGGGACAGACAGTGACTGCAAGTTTGTTATATATTACGTAATGAAGTGAAAATATTTTTTTTACTATTGAGGGCTTTGGATTAACATCAGGTGCTAAGACATGAAGCATTGCCAACTTCATGTTGACCTACACATATCTATTGTCCTTTTTTAAAGTTCACTACATAGTTTTGTTAAGGATACGAATTGAAAGATATTCTTAAGAGTGATGGATTTTACCTCCTCAGAATAGTTTTTATTACCTCTCTTATTTACATTGCTATGCTTGAAAAGATACATGTGTAAGTAGGTTTCGTGTATGAAACCCATATGAAATTTATAGCCTATATGTTATTCTGATGTATAAAGTTGATGTGTACTGTCAAATTTCATTCAAATCCATTAAGCAATATTTGTATGAAAGAGTATCAAACATCCATCCATGCATATCCACAAACTTAAAGCAATAAATATATTCAATAAATGTTGTTCAGCATTACATATTTAGGATTTTGTGTATACAAACAGCCAAATAGTAGAATTGATTTTATCCTTCTTCATTTACATTTAATTATAGATGTAACAATTATCAATCAATATTGAGTTTAATTGTTCTAGGACATGTGACACCACATTTATAACAGTATTATTACACTGTAATTATAGACAATAATGGAAATTTGTATCTACTCCAACAAAACTGGACTTATAATTATACATATAATACAAGCCAATAGCTTTGTTATTCAATTGTACACATTTTTTTAAGCTAATGCAAGCTAATGCATGACCTGATGATAAGTGATTGTTATGCTGCCGCTTATGAGCACCAGCAAGACTGGGTAGTGTGTTGCCAGTCTTTGAAGAAATAAGCTTTTTTTACTGGATGGCTTGTAATGTAATTTGACATACTTATTGTAAACAAACAAGCTTCGGCTCTCCTGATATTCATTGCTTACTGCCATCCATTTCTCTGACAACTGTGTTGCCTGCCCTTTATGAAGGAATAAACTCTTCCTATACTGCATCGGTTTTGAAAAACCATTGGTAGAAGGTGAATTGAATTATTCGAAAACAGATTTGTAATCTCCACCTATTTACAAAGAGGATACAATGGATACAGAAGAAATATATTAAGATATTATCTAGAAAGAAATTAAGATATGGGTAACAGTAGTAATTAAAGAGGACACAAAAGAAGCAGAGGCAAACAGACCAAAAGATTGGAAGATGACATCAGGAAGGTAGCAGGGAAAGTTTGGACTCAGAGTGCAAGCGACCGAACCCTATGGAAATACTTGGAGGCAATTGGAGGTAAAAAGGTAATTGGAGGAATACATAGGCCTATGTCACATGACAGACTGTTAACATACAGATGTGGAAAAAAAAAAATCTAGACCGCAGTTACTGCTGTAAATTTGTAGCGTAATGTTTTGAACAGTAAATAAAGACTTTTATTATTATTATAGTAATTAAAGAGAAGAAAGAGAGACAAGAGAAGAGAGGCTGTATACGAAAAAATACAGTCTAATACATCAAAGGCCTCTCCTTTGTATGTATTTTAAAAAAAGAATTATTTATTTATTTATTTATAGCCTTCATGCTGACAATCATCAGCTTGTCCTAAGACATAGGCCTCCTCCAAAAGACTCCAGATAACACCTTCAAAATTAATATATACGAGCAGTTGCTTGCCAAAATACATAGCTAAAACCAATTTCACATACACATTTCGTTCCTAGTGACGCAAGGCTGGATCTATGATAAATTTTATTAGCAATTCTGTTTACCACACATATTAATCGATTCTATGAACACATCTAGGGTCATTAAAACGATATAATTTACGTAATAGACAAGTTTACAATCACTTGAACCCGCATAATGTTTAGAAGGGGATAGTAACAGTTTGTTGGACAGAATAATGATAGAAATAGACTCACCGCTTTTCGGCAAACTCCTTATAACATTAACTGCTGCGTTAAATTTCTCTTCTAAAGACATTTTGGCACAATAATAAACTTCAATAAAACACGGACACTATTTTTTAATAATAAAACATGCACTTTGAACCTGGTAACTATAAATTCACATCACACACATTAGATTCCCATAAGAATTAATGACACCTTTATTGAACAGTCGTAAATATTTTAGAAATGTACGCAGTTTAGCGACGATATCTAGTAATAAAATTATAAATACACGACAAATATAATGAAGAGACAAACACCAAAGTTAACTACGACGAGACGACTAAATACATTTAAGAGATATGAGAAGAGCGACAAACAAATTAATATGCAAGAAAAACAATACTGATTGATACTGACTGACTTGTACCAATGAGCGGGGCGAATGAGAATTCCTGACATTTTCTGATTATTCGATACTAGTTTTGACAATTCTAACACTGACACTGTCATCCGAATTCTGACATCGACTGTAGTTTTACGGTTATAGCAACATAATGTAACAAATAACATTAAAATAAAAATATGTGTAACAGTCTACTCGTATAATAATTATAACGTGGTTGGAAAATGTTTGTTTTTCCGAAAATGTAAGAGAATCCTTATGCGATATGACGGTCTCTTGTACCTTATTATTCTAATTTTTGTTTTTACTTCTGGCGCAATACAGAGTTAATAAAATAATAAATAAAATAAAATATCATCCTTTCTTTCTCATTCTCAATTTTATTTAGCATATTTGCGAGATTTCGGTTATTTAGCAATTTATATTTACATACTGGCAACTCCTGATTGTCATTGTCAAATAGAATTCGATATAATTTCTTTCGAATTAAAAGAAGGTAATAAATCCAACATAATTCCCCAAATCTTAATATATAAGTGAAAGATATTAATTGTGTAGTGTGTTAAAGTGATTTCAAGATTTGTTATTCCATTATTTACATAATTAGTATTCGGTGAAACTAAAACCGCGCCTGTTTTAGCGGCATATATTTTTTTAACAAAGTGCGATTTTTATTCTACCTTTGCCATTATTCATGTGTACTATTAATATATAAATAGATGGGGAGATATGTTCTGTACATACAGCGATAATCATTGAATTTTATGTGTTCAATTTTGATTTGTGAATAGCGAGATTTTTTTTTAACTAATATCGACCCTTTCCGACTTTGTAGAATTTGAGCCGAGCCCTATTATAGTAGTGGATGAGACTATTCCTCACATGTACATAAACTACAAAATCCGTACTTTTTATAAGTACTTTTAGAATATAAAATGATCCATTAATTAAATATCACGATAGCGATAAGTGCATGAATTGTTCATCTCAAATTCCATGTCAGTGAAGTAACAAACCAAATTTTTAAAACACTACAGTATAAAAAAGTGCCTTTAATGAAAATTAGGATCTTTGTTGGTTTAAAATTTAAGTTTATAGAATTATGTGCTGTAAAATTTGTCTATATGTATATATTTGTGCATATACATTAAGTTAACCCTAAAATGTACCCAACCTATAAGCTAGTGTTAGTATTCATGAAACTGAACAAGTACCAAAGAAGCAAATTGATTATGTAGATACTATGTATCTATATAATATATATATTGAGAAATATAAATAATCTTTATTTAAACTTTTGAATTGTGATATTTCATCACAAGAAGAATGAGCAAGAAAAGTGTGTTGCTCTTTTAAACAAATGTTGTACAGCATTATATTTTTAAGATTTTCTGTGAATTTTCTGCAAACTGCTAAATAGTAAAATTGATAAAAGTAAATAAACACACATTAATTTTCTTTTTTACTTTTGTCAAAATATATTGTCATATTTCTGCACAGTGTGTCTTGTGGAATGTTTCTCAGTTTCATAATAATTACCTTTTAGCTCGGTATATTCACTAATTATTTTACATATTAGGAACCACCCATATAAAAAGAGATAGAAATAATTCGTAGAACATTTTAGTGTTTTATGAACATCATAGAAATAAATAATCTTTATTCAATGTTAAATTCTTGGTAAATTCGCTATGATCGGCTAACTGACCTGACCTCATACTTATATTTTCATCCTCCACTGCTGCCCTCTTAAGCAACATCAACAGCAACAACCATATCATTATTATACTATTAAAAAAAAGTATGGTTAACAGGGGGGAAGGGAATTGTCCCCATTGATAGAAATGTACCAAGTGTGTCAGGCAGAACCCCCTTATCCTCCTATCCTCTCCTTAGAAACCATTGTGGTAAATTGACCTGACTTCACACTCATTCATCATTTTAACTTAAACCATTAGTGCAGGCGGGTGCATCATTCCATTATCATCTCATAAAAAAAACTTGCAACACTAGAATATTTACAAAAAATAACTATTTCCTAATAGGTTTTTTTTTTTACAGATTATATAATCTTCCAATCTCAAGATAACTGACACAGCAGACACAAAGATGCCAGAACTGACAGAGCTGGACAAGGCTACTGCCTCCATGACAGAGAAGCGCAAGGAAGAAACTGCATCATCTGACAGCGACTCAGATGACACCATTCCAGAATTGGAGGATGCTGGTATGGAGTTGCTTACAAAAAATTTTTTCTCTTTCCGTCTTCCATCAGCCCTGTAATCAGATTTATTGATATTTTTTTGGAATATAGTTCTTTTATGATAAAGCTTCTAGATACAAGTGATGATGTATTCCACCTGAAGAGGGCCAAATATAAGTACTCCTTATATACAATAAAAGGGATGCATGTCAATGTACAAAAACTATCTAAAATAAATCTTATTCTCCTTGTAATAAAGTATATATCAGCAATTGCATGAGTGGTGATGTGAAAAATGCTTGCAATTCTTACTAATATTATAAATGGAAAAGAAACTTGTCGGTTTATCTCAAAAGTACTGAACCATTTTAAATGAAATTAGGTACACTGATAATGTAGACCCTCAGAAAGGACATAGGCTACTTTTTAATGCAAAAAAGTAGCATTTCTTTCTGTGGTTTCGTCATGTTGAAGAAGAAAACTAGAAGTATGTAGAAACTTTTATCTTTGGCTTTTTTGTGATAAATCATTAAATATTTTTTCTTTATTTCTACAAAGTCACTATTACTATTTAACGCGCGCACGAAGTCGCCGGCACAGCTAGTCAAAAATAAATCTCATTTTTATTATATAAAAGTATATTTGGTGATAAGAAAAATAGTAATACTTCATAGATAAAATGTATATCGAGCCTCGGTGGTCTAGTGGTTTAGCACACTGCTTTACTATCCGATGGTCGTGGGTTCGATTCCTTGCTCGGTACAAACATTTGGATTAATGGGTATGATTGTTTATATCGGTCTGGGTGTTTTCTATGTATAATTGGTATTTATTTACAAAAAAAAAAATCCATGTATTTCTATCAGTTGTCTAGTACCCATAACACAAGCTCTGCTTAGCATGGGACTAGATGGCGCTGAGTGAATTGAGATGTTATTATTATATGTGTAATTATGGTTAATTATTCCAGGTGCACCAGGCACCGGGGGCATCTCCAACCCAATCGCTGGCATTGATATCGTATCAAAGGCGAAACAATCGCGAGGCGAGAAGAAAGCCCGCAAGATCATGAGCAAACTTGGATTAAAACCCGTTAGTAATCTTGTGACATAATGTTTTACAGCATCGACTTAGAAGGAATAGGTTGTCAGTTCGAATCTGGTTTACACCATAAAATGATTCTCAATTCAAATAATGACACCATTACTAGCATAGAAAACTTGGAAACTATCATACATAATAAAAATAAGGATAACAGTCCATATGTTAGATCTCTATACCCTCCTATGACACATATTTTACTATAGATGTAAAAAACAACATAATCACCCCGTAGAGATGGTTATCTACGCATCCATGTCCAAGTTTAATTAACCTTTCTTGCCTTATAACTTAATATCTGTTTATGTTTGGAATATTCTTGTGGTGCAATAAAGAATAAATAAATAAATAAAAATAAGGTATGTGACAAAGACATAACCATTGAGGCATTCTAATTCTGCAAGCAGATTCGATGTCACAAAGCCTATTATTTCACAATTTAATATTTCAATATATACATTTATTTGCACAATAAACTAAATTTAATCTTAAAAATACAAAATTCATTGAATGACTCATAACGATTCTTCTGAAACACCTGACCAAAGTCAACATGACAAACAATGACACATTGCTGAAGAAATTGGAGTTCTGATAAACAAAAAATCACTTTTAATTGCATTACAGGTACAAGGCGTCAACAGGGTCACCATCAGGAAGTCAAAGAACATACTGTTTGTGATCAACTCACCAGATGTGTATAAAAATCCACATTCTGACACATACATTGTGTTTGGCGAGGCCAAGATTGAGGACCTGTCGCAACAGGCCACCATGGCGGCAGCTGAGAGGTTCAAGGCACCAGAGAGTGCTGCGGCCGGAAACGACTCCACAGCTACGGGCACGGTGAGTGTATAGTATATTTTTCCACAGATTATCTATAGCAATTGGGGGCCATCCGAAATTAAAGTAAATTTAAACATTTTTATCAACCTTGATGGTATAGGTGTTTGAAACACACTTTACTTCCGATGGTAGTAGCTTGGATTGCTTGCCCAATGCAAAAACTTTATTTATTTGTTTTTCACATGGTACATGATATATGATATCTATACATATAAAATTGGAGTGTCTGTAGTATTGAAATAACGGTTTTTACTACATAAATATGAATATAAATTGTGTGGTATTTTGGTGTATGTACCCTACATACACCAAAATACCACTTTGTACAATTTTTGTCTGTCTGTCTGTTCTGTCGGTTTGTTTGTTCCGGCTAATCTCTGAAATGGCTGGACCTATTTTGACGGGACTTTTATTGGCAGGTAGCTGATGTAATAAGGAGTAACTTAGGCTACTTTTATTTTAGAAAAATAAAGTTAATAAACTCCACGCGGACGAAGCCGCGGGCAGCTAGTTAATAATAAGAACATAAGACATGTGATACCCCTTAGGGGTACCGTGATTGCATTGTTGTAACTATATACAATTACATTGCAATAATTAGTTGAAGTTCAGAATTAAATATAATAAATAAGTTGTTGATACAATTTCATTATAGAAATTATGTAAAAAAGCATGTTAAACAATATACTACTTCAATAATGAAGTCATACATTGGTCAGAGTGATTTATATAAATTTAAGTATTTCTATCAATTGTCTAGTACCCATAGCTCAAGCTTTGCTTAGCTTGGAACTAAATGGCACTGTGAATTATCCAGTCTTATTATTATTAACTTGTTTGCTATTCCAGCTACTTGAGAAAGTGGTATTGAATTGAATTTATTATTCTTCTTATAGACGGTAGCGCCGATAGCAGAGGAAGAAGATGAAGAAGGTGTAGACGAATCTGGCGTGGATGAAAAGGATGTGGAGATAGTGATGTCTCAAGCGAACGTCTCACGAGCCAAGGCCGTGCGTGCCCTCAGGAACAACCAGTCAGACATTGTCAACGCCATTATGGTGAGTAATAACAATTTTTACAACCCACAAAGTAATTTTTGGTATCTGTGGAATTATTGTAGAGAGTTAATTTTTTTAATATACTTATATGGTTATATTATATACTTATACAGGTCACCAAAAAACTACTTCATTCATTACTTCATTAGCTTTATTAAGGATTAATCTGACTACTTGTTACATATGAAACATCAGTTACAAATAAAAAGATTTATTACTAAAAAATATATGTTACAAATATTTTATTACATAATCATATAATAATATTACAATACAAATCATTTATTCAAATAAACTTCAAAAGCACTTTTGAGTAGTCAGTTATTTTTTTTAATATTTTACATATCTGTCTATGTATTAATTGTTGAACGTGTTATCTGTTACAGGAGCTGACAATGTAAACAGTAGTCACAATATTCACATTACTAGCTTTAAGTACGTGTTTCATGCCGCGGCTATGCCTGCGCGCCTACCGATCCAAAGTTGGCCTCAGGATGTGTGATTGATTGGCAACATACGGAGTGTATATAGCATTATTTACTTCATTACAATAACATTTAATTGTCTCTCTGTGTCTTATTTTACTATATTATACACCTTATTCACTATCCTTTTGAACTTTTTTACGAGCGCAATATACTACAGAAACTCCCTATGTACATAATTACTAATATTATAAACGCGGTAGTTTATGTGGACGGTTGGATGGATGGACCTTTGTTACTCTTTCACCAAAAAGCTAATGAAAGCATTTACAATAACATAGATTATATGTGAGAATATAGAATTGCTATAAATTTCACGCAGGTGAAACCACAGGCACAGCTAGTCCTATAAACAGTGCACTGAACAAGTGACACCCTGGGGTTTTAGGCTTTGGTAACCGTTGACCATTAAATGGACTGTGTTTTATTGCCACCACTGGTAAAAAGAAAACACGCTAGAGAAACGACGAGTGAGATGTGGAGCGTTTTTACTCATTAAGAAAGCGCACCACCGAAACTCCGTTGCCGAAGTCAAAAGGTCGTATTAAAATTCCATCGTAAACTACTAATTTACATAACGGAATTGACATAATTTCGTGCTCAACACCGTCTGAATAATATGTTGAAGTAAAATAGTCAATTTTGTTTTATTACTTCATCAAATAAAATATGCTTACACTATAATTTATACAATGTTTTCCAGTAAATTTATAATAATACTATGTAGATATTGCATGCATTTACTTTATGGGCCACTATAAGAAAATGATCATAAAGGAATGATGCATTCTCTTGTGCTGACGGCACTTCTCTCCCTTGCACCAATAGAGGATTACAAAATGAGTATACGGGTCAGTTAGCCTATCTTAGCAAATTCATAAAGAATTTATCATCCATTAAAGCAGAAAAAAAGAAACATGGCAATAAAGAGGAAAGAGTATTTTTTTGTTATGCTTTAAATTATTTAAAGGAAAGGCAAAGGAACTCTGCTCATACAGCCCTAATGTTAAAAATAAGTGACATACATATGTCAAAATAAATGAATGACAGAATATACCTATTATATGTCAATCAAATTCAATCCATCCATCAAATTCCTAATTCTCTATCATTTCATTGTTTTGTTCTTTACTGAATTTATATATTTTATAAATCTCTTTCCATCCTGAGTATAACCGGTGATATTTGTCTTAAAAATGGCTATGTTCCCAGGAACAGTAGCCTTCGATGAATATGGGCGTCCATTTATAATTTTAAGAGACCAGGATAGACAGAAAAGGCTTACCGGTATTGATGCACTGAAGGTAAGAACTATTACTTATTTATTACTTTACAATATCATAAATCTTATTTTCATACATAATAGTTAATGTGCGATAATAAAATATATACATTTATAAAAATTTAAGTTGATATAATTATAACCTGTAGATAAAATCGTTCGAGAAAATTCAATTAAAATTATATTAAAATACAATTTTATCAATTAAAGTTTGTTTCTACGGCTTATTTAATTGTTTAAAAACTCGTATAACACCAAATTTGGAAAGTTTCATGTCGTATATATGCAAAAATTAGCAATAATGTTTACAGGTGTTTGTCTGAGTCACATGACATCATATAATTATGATATTGCTCTTGTCAAGTACCTACTGTCCCCAAACTTATATTATGTTAGGTTATAACTGGTCTAGAATGCCAATATTTTGTTGCGAGTAGTATATAGATATTTGAAAAACAAAAGATCGTATTTTTTATGCATTAAAATACTTTCCAAATAACATACCTACTTAGTAAATAATGTTTATATTATTATGTGCCTATAGATAAAACCCGAAAGAAGTTCTGCAAATTAAAAATTGCATACATTATACTGCTTGATTAAAAAAAACTTCTTTTAATGTTTCGAAAAGTATAGAATATACTAAAATAAATAATTATATGTATATATGAAGACTGCTAATGCAGACTTTTTTAGTGCTACTCTTCAAAACCCAAATTATAGAAGAATTTTTGGACAAACTTCCAGTATTAATATTTCTTTTGTTTACCATTGATACTTACACTACTTATAACAATCTAACAACTTTACAGTCTCACATCCAAGCTGCTCGTCAGATAGCTGGCATCCTACGTACATCCCTTGGCCCGAGGGGCCTTGACAAGATGATGGTCTCGTCTGACGGTGAAGTGACCGTCACCAACGATGGAGCAACAATCCTCAAGTTGATGGATGTGGAGCATCAGATTGGGAAACTGATGGTGCAGTTGGCTCAGAGCCAGGATGATGAGATCGGAGATGGGACCACTGGTGTAGTTGTCTTAGCTGGTGAGTATTGGCTGATTATAATAAGTTATTTGTTATCCATATTTTAGTTTCTTGAAGGTTTTTTAATGGATGTATGATACAATTTAAATTGTAAGGTCCCGTTATTTTTACTAATTATATGTATAAATAATGGAATTTTATATTGAAAAAATAATAAATACTACTAATTGACATTAGTGTTTAAAAGATAAACACATTAAAATATAAATAAATTGTAATTTCTTTCACCAACCACCACCATTCAATTTAGTCTGCTTCTTATTTTCAATGGTTTCAATGGTTTGATTCCTATAAATGAAAGAAAGAAAGAAAATAGTTTATTTGGTACATAAATAATTTATATAAGTATTTATATTAGTTGTGTAGTGCCCATATCACAAGCTCTGCTTAGCTTATGACTAGATGGTGCTGTGTCAATTGACCAGGGATATAATTATTATTATATTGTAGTAAATATGTAAAAGTTAATCTAAGTATAAAATTTCTGATCTAAAAGGAAACTGAACATCAGTGATGACTTAAAAAATACTCACATGTTGGTTTGATATATAATGATATCTACCTTGGCTGTGTCTGAGGTGTTCAGTTTACTGCAAATATTATTGGTTTTATTTCATTGTACCATTTTAAATGTTATCCGTTTTTGGATGATCCCTTTGAACAGTATGTGTAGGTATATAACGGCGTCGTGGTCTAGCACTAACTAGTGGTTTAGCACGCGGCTTTACTTCCGATGGTTGCGGGTTTCGATTCCGCGTACGGCACAAATATTCGTATCCATGAGTATGGTTGTTTGTATCAGTCTGGGTGTTTTCTAAGCATAAAATATATGTACTTACGAAAAAATATCTAGTACCCATAACACAAGCTTGTTAGCTTAACTTGGGTCTAGAGGGCGCTGTGTGAACTGTCCTGAGATTTTGAAATTAATAATATATTTCAAAAATTACACTCAATCAGGTGCACTTCTGGAGCAAGCGTCCATTCTTCTGGATAAAGGTATCCATCCCATCCGCATTGCTGACGGTTTCGAAATGGCTGCTGTGACCGCTCTACAGCATCTGGACAGCATCAGCGAAGCGTTCCCCGTGAACAAGAACACGAGGGAGAACCTGATTAAAGTGGCCATGACCACCCTGGGCAGCAAGGTGGTGGTCAAATGCCATAGGCTGATGGCGGAGATTGCTGTTGATGTAAGTGAAATTGTCTGTCTACCAGTATATGCTATTACACAATTTATTTATTTAAAGGAACAACACACAAGTTTCTTGCTCATTCTTCTTGTGATGAGTCAGAATGAGTGGTAGAATAAAAAAATATGACTTATCAAAATTGCTTATATTAAGTTTATTTAAAGAAAGATTATTACTATTTCTAGAATTATAACACTTATCTAGGCTATGGAAGAGTTTAGCCTCCTGAATAGAATAGAATAGAATAGAAAATCATTTATTCAAATAAACTTAATTTAAGCACTTTTGAATAGTCATAACAATTTGTTTTTTATCTACCACTGATAGCCATTTTTATACTTTTATGGTACCCATACGAAGCCAGGCCAGGTCACTAGAGTATACACACACACACACACTTGTGTAAACAAGTTCCAGGTACAATTAGTCATGATTAAAACACATAATTTATCCACAGGCGGTGCTGTCCGTAGCTGATCTGGAGAAGCGCGACGTGAACTTCGAGCTGATCAAGGTTGAGGGTAAGGTGGGTGGCCGGATGGAGGACTCCATGCTGGTACGTGGGGTCGTCATAGACAAGACCATGAGCCACCCGCAGATGCCCAAAGTTCTCAAGGTACATACACTTTGTCTATTAACATACTTTAAAATATGAGAAGTTCCTTAAACTGATTTTTTTAGAGTTTGATAATGTGATGGAATTGTTATCAACTCATCTGAGTTGTGGCTACTTTATTTCCTTATGACTACATAATTTATTGTTTATCATAGTATGTAGGTAGTGAGTACACAGTTGTAATAATTGTACTACATTAATAAGATTATTTGATAGTGTGGTACATTGTTTATTAGTAGCGCGTACATTTAACGTAGAGTCATAATATGGACTGACTTTACATCTAAGTTAGGTGAACATAAATCTATGTTATGTGAGGACCGAAACAAATGGAAGGGTCCTGAGTATTGACAGAAATATTACAAGTGCAGGCACAATACCCAAATAAAGTATAACCAAATTTAAAAGCTTTATTTCAAAGAATGTGCTTGCAGATGAGTACCATAGTAAATTTCATTATAATTTGTTTAATAGTTTCAAAAAACAAATCAAAATAAAAAATAATTTGATCATGCAGTGCATTTTAGCCGTTTATTGTATTATATTTTTTTCGCTACCGTCCAGTTCAGTATAGAAATTCAATTAAGAAGAAAATAACTAGCAAACATCTTTAACATACATAAGTATATAATGAAAATCCTGGGTGTTGGCGACAGACCTCTTTTTATAGATATTTCTATTTTTAAACCATATATTTTTTATATACGATTTTTGACATATATTTTTTATTATATTGTTTTGCTACATTGTGTCATATACGCTACCACTAATACATCTATAATTTTGGTAAGTAATTTAATTTATATTACCCTATTTCACTGCCGTTGCCAGCTGTAATACTGGGCATGAACAACTATTGCCACGTATGCTCGTTTGCTTTTTAAATAACTGGAAAAATTCTATGGTATCTATGGTCACTGTAACTAGAATAGCCATAGAACTGCATACATACGACATACGTCTTTAGGTATATCAGTTTCCCACGGTACAGTGAGCTATCCCAATATTAATTATTTGGTTTCCCAGGATGTAAAATTGGCCATCCTGACTTGTCCGTTCGAGCCGCCCAAGCCGAAGACCAAGCATAAGTTGCAGGTGGGCTCCGCGGATGAATACCGCGAACTGAGGCAGTACGAACACGAGAAGTTCCTCGAGATGGTCCGGAGGGTTAAGGTAATATTTTATACTGCTTGTAGTAATTTTGACAGACTGTGGTGTAGCACATAGCTTTAGTTCTGATGGTCCCAGGTTCGATACTGTGTAATCAAGTTGTCTAATACCCATAGCACAAGCTTAGCTTAGCTTGTATTATGGGTACTAGACAACTGATAGAAATAGTTCAGTACATTTGTTTTGTAAATATATAGGTAATATCGATCGACAACATTCAGATTGATGAATACAAATGTTTACACCTTGCTCTAAAATCGTACCCGCGAACATCGGAAGTAAAGCGGTGTATTAAACCGCTAGATCACCGAGGCCGTCGTACTAGTATTCTGTTAGTAACACTCCCCTTCCCCGAGAGCTATAATTTTTTTTATGGATGATAATGGAATGGTGCACCCGCCTGCGCTAACGGTTTACGCTGGCGGGGCACCAGTGTAGGAAATGACTAAAATACTTACATTAAAACTCTTCGGCACTAGGATGCTGGTGCTACTCTGGCCATCTGCCAATGGGGCTTCGACGACGAGGCCAACCATCTCCTGCTAGCAGAAGACCTGCCCGCCGTCCGCTGGGTGGGAGGTCCTGAGATGGAGCTGATCGCCATTGCCACTGGTGGAAGAATAGTGCCCAGGTTCGAGGAACTCACCACAGACAAGCTGGGCTCTTGTGGACTGGTCAGGGAACTGAGTGAGTGTTTTTTTGTGTTCAATTTTTATTTGCAATCAGTAACAGAACTATGACATGAAAGAAATATCAGGGGAAAATTAAGAGTGTAGCTACAAAGGAAGATCATGGAGAAATTGCCAAGGCTTTTACCCGTATGTAAAGAAACTAAATTAATTAAACTTCAAATATATATTTAAAATAGGAATTACAGTAGAATTCATTCCGTTTTGCGCGTCCGAACCGAATTAAAGTGAACTGATAAGGTTGAAAAGAAAAGGCTTTTGGGAGTCAATGGGAGTGTTGAGACTCCTCCTCCCTGGAGGATGTGGATCAAAAGCGGCCTCAATATCGAAAAATTCACATAAATTGATTTCTTTATCCTCACTATTTAACATTATCACTCCCATTGATACTCCTACCCTACTACTAGGGTAGTCTAATCTGTATACATAATTTGCTTCAATATGTCAATTTGAGTAATCATTTAACTGATTTGTAACACATATTATTACAAATAGGGTATATATATGCTATGAAGAATGCTTTCTTTCTATACAGTAACGGAATTCATGTGGAGTGAGAAATAAAAATAAAGTACCACTGCATTCTAAGACTTCCCAATAGTAGGAAAGCTACTGGAGATATTTTAATGTTGATAACGATGGTGTGTGCAGCGTTCGGTACCAGTAAGGAGGAGATGCTGGTGATCGAGGAGTGCTGCAACTCCCGCGCGGTGACGCTGCTGATGCGTGGCGGGAACCGCATGATCGTCGACGAGGCCAAGCGCTCCGTGCACGACGCGCTCTGCATCGTACGCAGTCTCGTGCAGGTTAGCTAGCGACTCTCAACCATTTTTTCTTTATAGTTGTAGCATTGCATATCCGTCGCGCAATACATCTGCATACTTACTAACACTATTACAGTAGTCCGAAATAATAATGCGCCATTATAATTTCGGACTACTCTAATAGTGTTGGCCGCAGCTGGCTTTTACAGCCAGCAGAGATGATAGGAGGTGATGCAGATGGCACTCCAAACACACGGAAGGACTTATGGAGCGGCTGAAGGCAACTTCCGCCTTATACTTCCGCTTTACATTTCTATCATACATACTATGTATATGTATCATCGGAGGCTGCTGATGTAATGCGAGCACCACGATTTAATTTGTTCTAAATAATACTAATTGGTTATTTAAACGCAGGATTCCCGTGTGGTGTACGGCGGAGGCGCCGCCGAGATCTCATGCTCGTTGTCCGTGGCCCAAGCGGCCGACAAACTGTCATCCCTCGAACAGTATTCGTTCAGAGGATTTGCTGACGCTCTCGAATCTGTACCACTGGCTCTAGCCGAGAACAGGTAAGTGATAGAACCTTCACTTGTCATAATTTAACAGCGACCCTCTTGTCGTGTACAAGTACATAACGTATATATGTAAACTAGCAAAACAAAAAAATTTTGATAAACTCTTGGTGAATTTGTCACGATGGACTAACTGACCTGACCTCATGCTCATCTTATCATCCTCCACTGGTGCCCCGCCAGCGTAAACCATTAGCGTAGGCGGGCGCATCATTCCAATATCATACTTTAAAAAAACATGTGACCTGGTGTATACACACGCCCGTAACAAAACCTAGTTATTACTGTATTCAGTAATGTGTTTATTATATACTAACTGTGCCTGCGGTTTCATCTGTGTTATATTTCAGTAAAAAATAGCCTGTGTTATTCTGATGCATAAGCTATGTTACTGTAAAGTGTCATCAAAGTCCGTTTAGTAGTATTTGCGCCAAAGAGGAACATCCATACTCATAGAAACTTCGCGTTTATAATATTATTAAGATATAGAGTCTGTAATAGACCTACATGAATAAAGATATTTTGAATTTGAATTTGAAAAATATAAAATGTATTCGGCAGTGGTCTGTCGCCAATTGACACGCTGTCGGAGGTGAAGGCGCGACAAGTTGCTGAGAACAATCCTTACCTGGGTATCGATTGTATGGGCAAAGGTAATCTTTTTATTACATACTAGCTTTAACCCGCGGCATTGAATCAAAAATATTTGTTTTTTTTTTTTAATGAAAACTATCCTACGTTCATTTTCATACCTCCAAGAACGTGTACAAAATTTTATGATTATCGGTTCAGTAGTTTTTGCGTGAAAGTGTAACAAATATGCCAACTTTCACATTTATAATATTAGTAAGGACCGTACGCACCGTACGTTCCATGATTGCTATTTTCCCTTATTTGTGATTTTAATGCTACATTTGTATGAAATGTAAAATTTGGTGAATAATATTTTTTTATATATTCTCGATAAATAAAAGCTTTTTAGCTTAATTAATCACGTGATTAATGGACGACCCCTGACCTCTAAACAGCTTACAAAGCAAGCTACTTGCTTGCTAAAATAGCTGAGACTGAGGTACCATACACATATGTACTTATAGAAAGTATACCTCAATACAAAAGATTTTAATTACACATACACATAGACATGCTCTTTTATTTTATATACATTGTCTTTCTCGAAATATTCATAAGTAGTAATTGTCATTTATTGTCATTTGTATTTATTTAAATTATTTACATTGCTCTGGAGATGGCCTCAAATAACTGCAACACAGTTTTTATAAACAAATGTAATTCTTTACGTTTAAAATGTAACTGTTAAAAATTTGTTTTTGGTTTGAGTAAATTCTTTAATTCTTAAATTTCATTTGCAGGCTCAAACGATATGAAAGCAACAAACGTAATCGAGTCGCTACACTCCAAGAAACAACAGATAGCGCTAGCGACGCAACTCGTCAAGATGATACTCAAAATCGATGATGTACGCTCGCCGGCCGACTCCATCGACTAGAACTGAATCTATGGGTAGTTATATATATAATTATAGCTATAAACGTATTAACTATACATTTATATTGGGAAATAGAAAATCGTCAAAAGTGTTTTACCTAGGATTGTGTTTAGTAAAATGTATCGTAAGCATACGGTACATAATAAATCTATATTAATAACGTGTTAATAATTAGTAAACGCAGTTTTAAAATAATATTAAATTCTATTTTTCACTGTAAATGTGTAGTAAATATAGTCTTGTTTCATATATAAGAAAATGGTTTCTCTAAAGAAAACTTCTACTTTGAGAACAAAGTGAATGTAATTTATTAATGAGACATTCAACTACTAAACCTAGTTAGGTATGTTTATTCAGTTTTTCAAAGCAGATTTATTAGTTATATTTCCTTGAATAAAGTTACACTATACATATTCTGTAGATACTGAATTATAATCTCTAAATTCATACAGTTTAGAGACAATTTTCGAATGAATGAATCATTTGATCTTTCTAGAATTAAAGGAATATAATTTACTTTACGAATATTTTGTTTTAATTAAGAGACTGGGATGTGTCTATTATAAGTCACTACCATAAGATTTAGTCTGTATCTGGATATATTCTCATAATCAGCCATTTTGTTGGTATAAGCAAAAACAAAATGGCGTCGAATAAACAGATCCTCATATTTAGAATTTCGTTAATCATTATTATATAACACTGCATTTTTTAATTCTGTCCAATTCATACAGAATGGAACACAGTGGTTTTATATGAGCATTGTTCAAACAAATTGTACGTTTATATATATTATTGTATAAAAACACTACTACTATACTAAAAACACTAACAGTTAGAATATGTATGTAGAAATTTTAAGTATTTCTATTACTTGTTTAACACCCATAGTACAAGCCGTGCTTAGTATGGGATTCATCTAATCTCTGTGTTGGTCCCGCTGTGTGAATTGGCCTGGATTATATTATTATTATTATGAAATTGTCCAATATGAATGAAGATTTGCACAGAAAGTATTAATTTTTGTCTTAACCATACGTTTCTCTAAAACTATAATTGTAATTTGATTCTTACTTATTGTTAAAAATCGGCAGGGCATTATTATGTTGCATTTGAGCAAGTGGTACAGTTGTGTACGTGATGTATGCCTTATTGCACTAATAAATTAATGAGCTAATTTATTGGGTTGTTTTATTGAATCCTAACGTTTTTGTGAATATGTTAACTTGTTGTGATGAATTATAACTCAGTGACGTAACAAGAAGTAGAGGTTCTATGGATTGGACGGGCTCCAATTTGAACGGCGATCGAAATTAGAACCTTCGATGGCCTGAGCTGAGGTTCGAACCCCCCAGCGGTGCCCTCTCAGTTGCCCTTCAGCCAGTATAAATGATAATGTTTTTGTAGAAAATATCTATGTCATAATTCATTCTTATCTTACAATTAGACAATGATATCTGATTGAACAGAGATTAAGTGCGTAGCGGTTTCTATGTTGATCGTCGCATGCCTAATCCTTGTTAATGTAAATCCAATCAAAACAACATTTAAAAGAGTAACACAAGTTTCTTGCCCATTCTTTTTATGATGAGACTGCATTACGATTGAGCGGTAGAATAAAAAAAATGTGACTATTCAAAAGAGCTTATATTAAGTTTATTGGAATTTGAATAAAGATTATTTCTATTCTATTATTCCTCGGATTTTTTCACTCATTTCATCTTGAATGCCACTTCGGTGAAGCTGTAAAGACCAGCTGCGCCCAACAGTATTAGAACCGTTTGAAAAAAATATAAAATAAAGCAGGTAAGATTTTACGGATGTAGACTGTATTTCTACAGAACATACACTGCTTTCTTCAACTTGATTTTTAAGCTGTCTTCCGATTTAAAGGTCAATATATGGCAATGAAATGTAAGTATGGAGACATGACTGTTAGAACGAGGTTTGCAATCGATGACTAGTGTAGTAGATGCAGAATGTTTTAATATTTGAAAAGGGAGTACTGTCACCTTGTCTGGCTTCGTATTAATGTATCCGTGTAATCTATATATATATATATTATTGTATTAAACGTGTTTTTATATTATGTAAATCAGAAATATATTTTTGTTTATCTATTATTCTACGTTATTTACTTTTACACCACATAATTACTCTGTTAAATTGAGAAGTTTGGAGGTAACTTCCCTCACAATGATATCCCCAGGAATGGCAACACATGAGGGGTATAAACATCACATGATGGTGGTGCTGTTGATCTAAACTTTACTATTATACATCCAAATAACACGTAGGCTATGATTTAAAATATATTAGGTAAATTGAGTCTAAAATTGAGAGTATAAATTTCCGCCCGTGAAACCGCGGGCACAGCTAGTATATACTGAACGTTCACCACAACAAAAACCAGTTATCTTACCGTAAAATAATATGCCAAAATATTGTTGATATATTTTACTCTCTCAAGTTCCACTTTAACAATTTAAAAGTATCGAGTTGCATAAAATTATATATTAGGCGCAATTTCTACAACATTAGCAAACACGAGTCTTCCACGACGGTGGTTTAGCCAAGTCATACATATTAGCGAATACCATATAAACCCCGATATAGCAACCAATAACTGTAATGCTATACAGAATTCTATCACAAAACCCGCCTTTCAACCAAACAGGTCTACCATCTTCACATTGGAAATCTGCTTGGATTTTTTTAAACTTCACTAAACTTCTCTCCTTCGTTGTTGTTATACCGCGGGAAAGAAAAAGCGCTGTAGTACGAGATAGTAACATCTTTGTTTATAGCTAACTTCTGTTAAAATTATACGATTTCGACATATCTCAATTTCATTTGATATTTGACGTATTGATTTATTGAAAATGGAATACATTTTTTTTTATTTTATGCCAGTCAATTTCTTGTAGAGTTTATTAAAAAAATAATTAAACTACAAATAAAGGAAGCTTAATACTTATACAGAACAGTAATATCTACATTGTAGGTACTATAGGTTCTTATACTATTTGTTTAAGAAGTTTGGGCTATTTCTAGATTTTTAAACATGTAGCACTGTGACCTACGAAGATCTATCGTGCTTGCTTTTAGAACTTAGACTATCAATAAATAACTATGGGCAGACTTGTATTATCACAACCCCTAATATCAAATTATAAGGTTATTTATTATATAGTTATAGTCTATTATTACATATAGTCCATAATGTTCCGACAATTCTGTCTCCAAATGTCTCACTGCTCAGTCAATCTGTAAAGGCTACTCATATAGTCAGTTGTCATGTTGCACGAAAGCTACTAAGGTTTCGATGAAATCCGATTTTCGAAATTGATTGCTTGCCCCGTCCTCAAAGAAATGCGTCCATTTATTGCATCGAGTTGAAACATCATTGTGATATAGTACGTGGAAATCAACACGTTCAATACAAGATTGTTATGTCGGGGGGAAGGGGATTGTTAGTAATGTGGATTGATAACCTCATTGCTAGCAATGTACCATGTCAGGTCGACCTCCACGCGGTTCCCCCTGGAAACCATCGTGTTAAATTCCTGATGAATTTGCACGATGGGCTAACTGACCTGACCCCACGCTCATCTTATCATCCTCCACTGGTGCCCCGCCAGCGTAAACCGTTAGCGCAGGCGGGTGCACCATTCCATTATCAACCCAAAAAAAAAAAAAAATACAAGATTGTGCCAGTGTACGTTTTATCTAACGATACACACAGTAGTTTATGTAATTAGTCTAAGCTAGAGTAATTCAAGATGTAACAGTTAATATACAAGTTACACCCTACTGTGTGTTTACTCTCACCACCGCACCTGCCATCACATCATCAAGAATACCGCCAGCCAAAGGTGAGATATAGAGAGAAATGGATGGGTACTGTCGAGTTATTACTCATCCAAAACACAAGGGCATGGCACAACCACGCTCATGAGTCATAGTGATAGGAAGGATGCTGTCCCTTCCTCTCTTTACCGAAATTGTTAGGCAACCATGCAACCTGAGGACTAACCAACTGTATATGAGAGGCCTAATAAATTCCCAATTTCAAAATTACCACTCCGAACTCAGTTCCAACGTCCAAAAATCACACCATCTGCATTTAACGAGCGAGGGTCTCCAAAAGTATTTACTCTGAAGACCTTCTCGCTCGTTTTCGTCGTTATATATCAAATCGTTCAAATGCTAATGTCTTGCCTTCTTCTTCGTATTCTTCTTTCGTCATACAGAAGGAATAGAACTCAGGATCTCGGAATATTAATTTACCACCTTCCCAAGGGTAGGTTATAGGATTGTCTGCAAGTGTAACATTCACATCAAAATGGTCTAATGCCAAAGAACGCACCTCATTGTAGACCCTTTCTCGGAAACCAGGAAACAATGCATTCCCGCCATAGAGAAGAATGTTTTCTAGAAGGTTCTCCTTATTTTCTTCCGGACATGCGTCTATACAATGTATAATAGCTTCAGGAATGCCCATCTGTGGGATACCAACGTCTGATGGATGGAACAGCAGTTCGGGTATTGAGAATCTTTCATTGCTTAAACGTAAAGTCTGCTGTTCTAAGTCTTCATCAGGTTTAACAATATCACGGAGGTAACCACGACGGATTGTTGTGTAGTCAGGTAAGACGTAATCTTTGACAATTGTATTTACTGATCCTGGAACAATTAGGTTTAATATTTTATGTGATTATATTAGATCAGGCCCAGATTCAGAATTCATTTACACAAAACCTTATGAGGAATTATATATATATATATATTATACACCTAAACTTTTGTCAAAATCACTCTTCATCAATGAAAACCGCATGAAAATCCATTCAGTACTTTTTGAGATTATCGCCAAAATTCAGAATGATGCCTGAATGTCTGAATAAAGAACAGAACCGATATAAAATCAAGTAAAATCATAGGTTAACTATACCAAAAGACTCTATCTGTGCATTTCATTAGCATTTGTGTATAAATTTATATTGTTGGCAAGAATTTTAAACAAAGAATTTTTCAACATAGAAATAACAATAAAATGGCTTCATTATTACCCTTCTTCTTAGCAACTTCCATATCACCCATAAAATTCTGTGAAACAAAACATGAGTCCTCCTTAACTTGGTTAATTACATATGTTTCATCCATAACATTCAACTGTCTGTAAGACAGTATCTCCTTTAAATGATTTGTCATCACTTTCCCGCCAACATCTATTCTTCTTATTCCTTCTCTATACTTCTTACCCTTAATGTATGGAACAATATATGTGTAGCTGTAACCTGAATCTACTACAACTGTACACTGATTCTTCTGCTTCTTCCTATAATGATACTCGGCTAAATCTGTAGCATTAATTCGCAATAAAGTCTGACATTCGTACTCTTCGAAGAATATTTCCGTCATTGCCTCTTGAATAGACGCAAAATTGTATAAAGGTTCAGTAATTATCAAAGGGGTCTCATTAAAATTGACTGGACAACATTCCTTACTGAATATATAGTCCCAGACGGTTTTTTGCGTGTCCCAATTAATTAGGAAACCTTTCTGAAAAGGTAGTATGTAGAAAAGACCGGATGCATCACGGCATTCGTCTATTTGGGAGCCAACGAACGGCCGGCGTCTTTCTGATTTAGCTTTCATAATGCAGTTCGGTACTATTTTCGGGTCTGATGTAGAAAGACCCACTTTGGCGGTATAAGCTCCATTGTCGAGGATGTAGCAGGAAGATTCACTCATCTTTAATGTTTGAGGTTACCGGCTTCATATATATTACGAAAGTTATAACTCGATAATATGCTCGATATTTCAAATGACTTTGCGAATGTTGTGTCACAATGGTGAACGTGTATAAGAAAACACGTACTCAATAAAACCCATTTAAATATATTGAATATTCAAAAAATATGGGAGAATTTTAGAAAGTAGACAAAAATATTTTGTTGAACTTTTCAGTTCAGTCGATTTTTTTTTTTCCCATATTCGTCCATCTCCTTTTCAGTGATGGAACAGGCAAAGATCCTTAGACCGTACAGCCTAGTCTACTTTTCAGTTCAGTCGAGTCTCAGTCAGTCATGTGTCAATCTATATTTTTATTATTGTGGCTTGGCATAGAATAGAATAGAATAGAATAGAATAGAAAATCATTTATTCAAATAAACTTACATTGAAGCACTTTTGAATAGTCATAACATTTTTTTTTTTTTTAATCTACCGCTCATTCGGAATGCTGTCTCATCACAAGAAGAACAAGCAAGAAACTTGTGTGTTGCTCTTTTAAATAATTTATTCTTACTTACAATTTAAGTTTAAGTGTGTGAATACAAACCACCGATTAGCACTAATTCAATTAAATACTCAAAAAGAAAAAAATATTGAATACATAACCAACTGGTTAAACAATTAATAAGAGGAAATCAGTCATAGTGATTAGAGCAGACCAGTCCCTACAAGCAGCACCCGTTCACGAGTATGACGGATGAGCCAGCCATCACTGCGCTCGACCATATTTTAGGGAGCCCAATGACCCGGCCCACCACGCCGCCACAAGTCTGGACATTTTAGTGAGCATGACTACTCAAAACACCAGACCACGTCATAGCTACTCACAATTGCCATCTGATGTTTATAGTATTCACATTTCACATAAGAATGCATGCGGCAATTAATACAAAACCCGCTACGCTTTCATATTTCTAAAATAATTGAATCAAGAAAGCAATGAGATAAACAAATTATAACGTTGTATGCTAATAAACTAATTATTTACTTGATATGTTGTCTTCTATGAATTCGTCTATCCTGTAATAGGCTTTCTTACATAAAAATTGTTTAATATAAGATTTGAATTGCCTCTCTGTCAGATTTAGTGCAGATTCTGGCAGTTTATTATAAAATCTTACGCAATTACCATAGAATGAATTACTGACTTTGTGCAGGCGGCATTTAGGTAAAATTAGCTTATTTTTATTGCGTAAGTTTCTATTTGTACAGTCTTTAAGTTTTCTAAAACTGTCTAAATTCTTCCGCGTATACATGATATTCTCATAAATGTATTGTGAAGTAACAGTGAGGATATTTGAGTCTTTAAAACACTGACGTAATGACTCTCTTGAACCCATACCATAAATAGAACGTATGGCTCTCTTTTGTAAAATAAATATAGTATTTATATCGGCTGCTTTACCCCACAGTAGTATACCATATGACATAATGCTATGGAAATAACTAAAGTATACAAGTTTAGCCGTCGCCACGTCTGTTGTTGCCGATTGCCTAATTCTTCTAATTGCATATGCAGCTGAACTGAGTCTATTGGCCAATTTTGAAATATGGGGCCCCCATTGTAATTTCGAGTCCACTGTTATACCTAAAAAAACTGTATCATTAACAAAATTTACTATTTCGTCATTAAGCAATAACTGTGTATTTATTGGTCTTACATTAGGAAGTGTAAATTTTATACACTTTGTTTTGCTGGAATTTAATAATAGGTTATTACATGTAAACCAATTTAATATAGCAGACATAGCACAATTTACATCGTCTAATTGATTAGTTTGACGTCCAATTTTAAACACTAACGAAGTATCATCCGCAAACAGCACTATATCTGCAATTTTCTCTACCATAAAGGGAAGGTCATTTATGTAAATTAAAAAGAGAAAGGGGCCTAAGATTGACCCTTGTGGAACGCCCATCCCAATATTAGCTCCCTTAGATTTTATACCGTCAATATCTACAGTTTGGACCCTATCCTCTAAATAAGTTCTCATTAATTTTAGATCATTATCTTTTATACCATAATGTTCGAGCTTGTACAAAAGTGTTTTATGATCCACGCAATCAAATGCCTTTGATAGGTCACAAAAAACTCCGAGTGCATCCTGTGACTTCTCCCATGATTGGAAAATATGTGTTATCAGCGCTACACCTGCGTCAGTGGTAGACTTGCCGGCGGTGAAACCATATTGTTGACTGTGAAGCAGTCGGTTATCCCTGAAGTGTTGTAACATTTGATTTAACATTATCTTTTCAAACACCTTACTTAGAACTGGCAAAATAGATATAGGTCTATAGTTCCCTGGCTCAAATTTATCTCCTGATTTAAATAGTGGGATTAATTTGCTAAATTTCATTAATTGTGGAAAAGTCCCATTATCAATACATTTATTAAAAATAGTAGCTAGATATGGAGCAACAATATCTATGAAAGAACTAACTACTTTTACAGACATGCCCCAAAGGTCTTCTGTATTTTTTAAATTTAGATGTTTGAATATTTTTATGATATGAACGGGGCTAACATGTGAAAATTTAAATCTTAAAGTGTATTCGCCAAAAACAAATTTAGAAAACTGAAAGGCCGAGTAAATATTAACAGTTTAAAATACGGAGTGGCATTCAACAAACAAATCTATACTATTTTGTTTGTCTTAGGCATTACATATTGTTTTTTTATATAGTAATATTTTTGTAAAATTCGTAGTCTAAGCTGTTGCAGTATTTTTTGTTTATTTTATATTGATAACTGATATGACTCTACATTAGGAACAAAACATTAAAATTGGTTGAATTTATTTATGATGTTCTACACTAATTGCTAAGGAATCTTAGTTCTATTTTATTTATAAATTATACACAACTATCCATCTATTATAGCATAGACAATTCTAACCCTTAATTAAGGATTTAAAAAGTTCCTACAAAAATGGGAGTAAAAGGATAGGTGTAAGGTAGTATGCAACAGGTTTTACAAGTTAGTTTAATAAAATACTAATAATTTCTTATTTATTTATATCATCATTTATTTCCAACTTATGCACATCACTAACTTAACTTAATAAAGTTGATAACTTCTCCATGAAGATAAATTAAACATTCTACCTGTGAACAAGAAAATATAACAATTAATAATTTTATACCAATTTTGCATTACAATCTTGTATCATGTTGCGGGTGAGTAATATATCACAAAAATGTTTATGTATATCATCTATATTTATATTTTTTTATAACACATATACTTAAAAAACTATTGATAATGGTATAACATAACATAAATTTTAAGATCACCCTCATCTAATCACTATCTTTTAAATATAATAATGATGGATATGGTACCTGTGTAACCAGTAAGGGATTATAAGACATGTATAAAGAATAGACAGTTAGCACATTGTGGAAAATTCCTTAGTAATTAACTATGATGGTTCCCAGGAGAGCCCAGGTAGATAGTTTTGAGGAGGATCATGTGATGGTTAATCTGATAGGGTATTTTACCATTAATAGACACTGTATTATTAGCAAAGTGCCCTATTGTATTGATTTCCATTACTAACATTGCCTTCTACATAGAGGGCAAAATGTTATAGTGAGATAGTGCAGAGTTATTTATTTTTATTTATTCATTTATTTCAGGCAACTAGGCCCATATTATAAATATCTTATAGACTAACATACATATAATATAATATTTACAAACTAATACAACAATATTGTCTGTGTGATCACGGCACTGAAGACGGCAATCTGCCACGGTTATACTGAGCATATTCATATTGTGTGTTTTTAACATTGTAAATTACAATACAATTATAAACATACTACTCTCCGAACAGGAAAATGTAAGTATAAAGTCACACCTTATTCATAAAACCTCCAAAAACATATAAATTAGTTTTTGTCTTTTTATTTCAAATGAAGATTATAGCACATAAAAAAAAATTATAATTAAAGTAGGTTTTTATTTAATCTTTTCCATTTGTATGAAAAGGAGTCAAAATTATAACAAATTAAACATTATCTATTTTTCTTTTAAAACAGGGAAACAACTTGAAAAATATTTTAGAAAAATGTGAATTGTATTTTCATGGAACATAATATGTAAGATTTTGTTTGTCTGTGAATAATAAAGTACAAAATATTTTGTCTGTAGATGGATGTAAATGTTCTTTGATTATAAACTAATAAAAATAAAATATAGACTTACAGATTTAAATTTTACTTTTTAAGAAGTTGATGGCGGCAAATCAGGTAGGGCGCAGCAAGTCCAGATCCAATGTATACAGTAAAGAGTGCAGTCAGCTTGTATCTATTGGCGATGTCGAATGGGAGATTCTGTAAATTATGGCAGTAAATTTATTACGACAGTATAATAATGTTACCTACTCCCTTGCAATTATATATGTATAAAAAAAAGTAAATACAATTTTTATGCACGTGCATAAAAAATACTCCTATCTTTTTAAGAAAATATTTAATTAATGAGAATATAAAAGACATGAAAGTAAACATTATACATGGGTACCAACGACTTTAAAATAGACGGTGTATTCATTATTAATTAGATAATTATTATATTCTCAAACAAATGAGATTACATAATGCGTACTTATAATTTGAAAATGGAACTCACCTCTCCGGGTACTCCGCCATGAGAATGACATCTCACGAAATTTGTCATTGCATTCCTGCCTAATTTATTGGAAATCCGAGCTAATGGGGCGATCATTTTGAAAATTGATAAATTACAAATCAGAAATTATCAATATATGATTTCTTAGAAATCCTCGACTGATATTTTTTTTAATTTCTTGGTTCGAAAACTACCAATGCGTTCGTAAAATTAATTTAAATGGTAGCTTTCCATGGAATATCTTCGAACGCGACTTTATAAGTGAATTTGTAATAAAATGCAATGAATCATATTTTTTAAATAATTTATTCGCAGAGAAAAAGTAAATTATCTACATGAGTTTATAATTGTATACTTAATGTAATGAAGTAACCGCATCCCAGTCACCTGTAAAACATAAAAATAAAAGGAATATTACTAAATGAAAGAAGAATGAATGATAACTAATTTACGGCTGCAGTTCTTAACATAAATGCCACTTTTATATGTACCTCTTTTTTAATCTGTAAATACTTTACTTATAAGTGGCAAAATAACTATGGTTATTTATAATTTGAGTCTTTGAGCATATGGCATACATACATAAAGAGTCATAATAAGCGACAACGCCCTCTTGTTTCATCTATCAAATTTTTCGACTCCGTCCCATTTTTCATTTATTCCATAAAGAACTATTTCGGTTTCGGTCAATTTTTAATTTTTAGTACACAATCAGATGTTTAGGATATTGAGATGCGATGTCACGACATTTAGGACTCCTTCCACACCCTTGTCACATATTGTCACACTTTTTAGACTCAATCCCCTTCATTATCATTAATCCCATTATCTTATGACGTAGTTTTAGGGATGAGTAGACCTAATAAAGTATAAATATTATAAATAATTATTGGGTTATTAATGTGAACAAATTACTCCATCGATAGCAATTTTCTAAGTGTGTTTGACCTCTACTCGGTTCCCTCTGTTATGATGCTCTTACTTATTCAATTACATATATTTCATTTTAAAATTATTACTTCATTGAGTAGCCATTACAATCAAATTCCATTTTTACTACTACTGACATCGATAACTAGTGATGTGACAACAACCAATAAGCTAGTGACGTACTCTTACAGACACCCTCTGGAAACCAACAATTTACCAAGTCTGGTTGACCTCTACGCAGGTCCTCCTGGAAACTATCGTCACAAATTCCTGGGGAATACGTCACGATAGGCGAACTGACCTGACCTCATGCTCGTCCTATCATTCCTTACTGGTGCCCCGGTAGCGCTAGCGGTTTACGCTGGCGGGTGCTTCCATAATCATTGATTAAAGAATTGTATTGAATCAGTATTGACTCACCGTCTACTTCTTCCTAAGCTGATGGAACACGATGAGGAACGGTGCTGCAATGCCGGTGCCCACGAACCAGAATACGTTCAGAGTCAGTCGGGTCTTGTTGTGGATGTTGAAAGGCAGGTTCTGGAATGTTAGTTTTAATTATAAGTAGACTATATCCATTAGACTCACAGTTCAACTGATTTATTTAAGATTGGTAGCTCATAACGCTAACAGTTCATCCAAAGTATGTAGTGATGTAATACATAATATTATATACATATAGTAGTACTAGCTGTCACGGCAAACGTTGTTTTGCTGTATAAATTAAAATCCCTATTAAAAAATAGGGGTTGATAGTGGAATTGTGAAAAATTAGAGTTGTATGTATTTTTAATAACACATTATAAAAAAAAATACCAAAAAAATAAAATGTTACGGGTGTCCACCCGTCCAACCAACCTTTATCACTTAGGTGTATGAAAAATAGATAGTAGCCGATTCTCAGATCTACTGAATATGCATATAAAATTTAATAAAAATCGGTCAAACAGTTTCGGAGGAGTATGGTAACTACTTTGTGACACGAGAATTTTGTATATAAGACATTAAGATATAAGTGCCTTATAATGATTATAACACATGAGGCAGAATTTCAGCCCGAGCCGTAGGTGAAGGCGTAATGGAGCCGAATGTGTTAAATAACCGCGTATATCGTACGTCGTTTTACAACTGAGTTTATTTATAATGAGGTGTTAATTTTAAATAAACTCAAGCATAAAAGAGAAATTTAGAAAAGGGTTGAAATAGTGGATGTTATTTTGTGCAGACAAAGTCGTCGGAAATAGTTAAGATAATACTAAGTTAATTTGTTGTCGAATTGCTAAATAAAATTTACTGCTGTTTTATTTCGTCCTTCAAACGATTCTGGGTTAGTCGCCCGTTTTATGATTCTGCCCTTGGTAATAACATTATCTGTAATAATAGGCACGCGTTGCCTCTGCGTTACAAGAAAATTCAATCTAGAGTAATATCAATGCGTAAGTGAGCTTGACTCAGGGGCGGATCTACATAAGGGCTTCTTGGGCTGCAGCCCAGGGCCCCGAGAATACAAAGGGCTCCTCGTACCCACTGCAACAATATTTAGAATATAAAAAAATATCTAGAATGTTCAAAAACCTATCATAAGGTTAAGCCTGAGATCAATCAACCCATGCAAGTGTGCGTCTATCGAAAGGAACGGGGAATTTCTAGTCTCTTGTTTTTGGTCGGTGTGTTTTTTTTAGTTGAGTATTATTATAATCAGGTACGGTAGGTAGGCCCTAAGTAGATTTAACCCAGGGCCCCACAAATTCACGATCCGCCCCTGGTTTCGCTAATTGTTTATTACGCATTCGCACTCTAATTCTACATCCTATGATCCTACCATTAGACTTATAATTAGAGTGTGAATACTTTACTACTTATTACTTTTTTCAGTTTATCAGTGATATCAAAACTATAAAAATTCTCGTGTATAAGTGCGCGTGTACCTAAATCCCAAATAAAATACATACTTCCATTAGTAAATTACAATACTAGTAAAAGGAATTGTGAATGCAATAACAAATACGATAGTAACTGTATCGATTTAATGTGAATAGGTATTTGGCTGGAATTCTGAATAGCGCCATAAAACTGAAAAAACAACTACATTGAGTTTTTTAGTAGATGTCTTCTTAGCTTGACAATTATTTTAAAGTCTGTTAATAATATATATTCGAATTTAGAACCGTTTTCACTTTGAAGTTGCTAATATTCTGAAGTGTGACTACAATGTAGAATTGTTTTTAAATAATGAAATATGGAACTTTAGAGTTATGTTATGGAACTTTAGAGCATTATAAACGTGGAAGTTTGTGAGTTAGGATGGATGGATGTTTGTTACTCTTTCTCGCAAAAGTATTGAACAGATTTTTTTGAAACTTTTAAAATAATATAGCTTATACATTAAAATAAAACAGGCTATAAATTCACGAGGGTGAAACGCCTGTGGTTTAATTTACAGCTAATATAAATCTAAAGCAGGCGAGGTTGACAATTATACTTAATACTCAAGCACTGATACCTACATGAATTTCTTATACATACTAGTGTATAAAGAATTGATCAGAATAACGTGGTACTGATAATCAACTTCTTTAGCCTGGCCGAATAAAAATATCTTAGTTTTTTACTCACTTCATTATTTTGGAAATACTGACCTATTTTTGTTATTTCGGTCAATGTTGTTTTTGTTTCTAATAAATGCAATCATTAGAAAAAAAACGATATTGTCCGAAATAACTAAAAATGGTCAGTATTTCCAAAATATCGGTAGCATTAAATCGCTATATAGGCGACCTAATATACTGACTAAACATTTTATTCAACAACTTTTAAATCTAAACAATATAGATTACTTTTTGAAAAAAGTTTGCCTTTTGAAACCATAATGAAATCATAATGTAAAAGTAGCAGTCGACGCCAAAATGCATTACGTATCACGTCGTTGTGAGACACCATTGATACTGTAATTTCACTAAATTTTCAAACTGAAATACAGATTAAAAATTAAAAAGCAAGCTACTTGGAAGTAGACTACGGAACACATGCAGACACGATTTTATTTTTATTGAATTGGAATGGTCAACAAGGTACGGCTCAGTGTAGTAGATCCCGTCGCCTATGTACCTATAAACTACAGATATCACGTTATCATGTGATGGTACTGATACCATTCATGTTTCCTTCAAGCTACCTGGCCTGTGAAATGGTGAGACTGAGGTTCTCAAGCAGGTGACTTTGTACATTTTAACTAGATTCTGTAGTAGTTTCTACAAGTTTGTATCCAGGACACAATTATTAGGTATTACGTAATACACATACCTCTCCAGGAACACCCCCATGGGAGCCGTTCCTCACGAACGTCTTCATCACATCCCGCCCGGCTTGGTTCGAAATTCTTGCTAAAGGTCCGATCATGGTGAGTTTAATCCAAAAATGTGTCAATAATTTAAGTTCCCGTAAACTCAGGTAGATAAGCTATCGGTTGCTGTCGATAGGACTGGTCAGTAATAACTGATAGTAGGTTTGTGTAGTTCGAAAAAGATCTAGTTCAGAAGAACGCTCCAAAGGCGAAGGTAGGTTGCAGATAATCGCAGATTTAGTTTTTTTTAATGAATGATTACGGAATAGTACATCCCTGTGCGCTAACGGTATACGCTGGAGAAGCACCAGTGGAGGATTATAAGAATAGCATTAAATCAGGCCAATTGACCCATCATGGCAAATTCACCAGGATTTATCACGATGGTTTTCTGGGGAACCGCATGAAGATCAACCTGACATAGTACATTCTACTAATGTACAGTACAGGTTGACATTTAATAGGGTCATCAGTCCATATTATTAACAATTCCCTTTCGCCCCGCAGATTTAGTTGGTTTGTTAAAGTGTTATAGAGGTTTTCCAAGAAGAAAAACAAGAACACATTACCTCGAGGAATACTAATAGGCATGTGTGTTAATCCGCCTATTACCGTATCCACATGACAAAATGTGACAAGATTCGAGAAGGTTCTGAAATTTCGTGACATCACATCTTAAAATACGAAATTTGTACTAGTTAATAACGAATTATAAGACTTCAAAATATTATATTTCTTAGAAAATTTTAAAATATGTGACGTAATATGACCATCTGTGACAAGAATGGCGACATCATGAAATTTGTAGGACGTCATTTATGAATATGATTTCCTTTACCTGACTCGAGTCTAGGGCGATTGAACTATAAGAACTAATTACTTTGCAGATGAGCAGCGAACTAAATTTAACGCTCCAAGTCCCGAACTATGACGCGCGATACTAACTGATAAGCCTTAAGTCCTAATACAACACCTTCATGTACCTTTATAACCCGTCAAAGTTAGAAGGTCCATTTGTTATCTCCGGTCCAGTAATGATAAGGAACTTTATAAATTATTGGTATAATATATGAATTTAAGGGTAATCATGATTTTTGTGTGTTAAATAAATAAAATATTCAGTAATTTTTAAGTAACTTCAGGAAAAATCGGTTTCAATTAAACTGATTTTTTTTTATTATGAAATTTGAGCGCGTTTTTTCGCAATTCCACCTCACTTTTTTATGTGTGAAATATTATGTGATATTTTAGTGTATGTAGATTCAACCTCATAACCTAAGGGTACGTGTCACCCTTGGTGTTGCAGGAGTTCTTGGGCTACGATACACAAACAATTATTCTCTGCATGACTCATGATTGACTGGTAGATAACGCCACAAGGTGTTAAGTCCGCCATATGTACCTTTGTGCTTTGAAGTTAAATAAAAAAACTTTTACCATCAGATAAGCTGTATGCTTGATTGCATTAGTATAAATAAAGAAAGAAATAATTTATTTTCAACAAATGAGGAAAGTCCTGTAACTAAGTTAGCGGACTTTACCAGCAAAAACTTCAAGTTATTTGTCAAAAAAGTTCGTACATAACTACATATGGTATTCAAAGCAAATAGGTTGATAAGAATTCTATATCACTTGTAAACATATATTAAAAGGTTTTAAATAAGATGCATTTTATTTTGTTTAATGTTTCGGCACTAATTATCGTTTTCATTAGATTATAATAAAAATAATCTTTATTTGCCTTCTACTTAAACAATATTTATGAATAGCATAATTTATGTCCTATTTAAAAAATAAATATTAAATGAATGAGTAATAAATATTAAGAAAAAAATCAGGGTAGGGAAAGTTTAGTAACAGTTAGGTTTGGTTACTTTATGAGTAACGTGGAAGTACCAGTACAACGAACAAGCTATTGTCTTTGCGTCCAATAGTCTAATTACATTTTTCAAAAGTTCCTTCTCATTATATATTTTAAAGAATATAAAATAAAAGTCAGGAAATATTAACAATATTTCTTTATAAACATAAATATAGTAAAAAGTCAATATTGAAAAACAGATACACTTTAGAATGCGTTTAATTATGGTAGTTTAGTATTTTTCAAAGTGGCAACAATATCTGTCTATCCGCCTGCCCTGAAGAAATTAAAAAAAAGAAACAGTCGGCCACGCTTACGAGAGAAATCTCCACATTTCGGGGGCATTTTTTCCCCCTTTAAATTTAGTTCTAATATTGCCGTAATCACTTCCCTAACAAAACTAAACACACGAGTGTCTCGTCAAAATTCACAATGGCAGATTTAGACGATTTCTTCGCCAAAAAAGATCGCAAAAAATCGAAAGCAGTTAAAAAGTTCGCCACTGCTGACGAAGTAGCTAAGAAAATGGATGATCCAAAACAGAAACCGGACGTGCGGCCGAAGAAGGAAAGACCGACGCAAGAGGGCGATGAATCAGGCCGAGCTGGGGTGAGTTTTCCTATAAAAACTGACGAATTCAATTTTGTTCCGTTGCTGACCTGTCAAACGCGAATGACAATGGCTATTCGCAATTCCCTCTAGTTTTTGACGTGATTATGGGGTCGTTTTGTTCGAAAACACGCCTTCGTTTCCACTTGACCTAGTTCAATTAATTAACTCTTCATTTACGGGTTATGAACGGGTGTAAGTACATACTTAATTGTCATTTACCTACGGTTTTGGGTTAGTCAAATCGTCATGTCATCTCGAACAATGAAACTTTCTCACATTAACTGAAAAATTAATAAAATAACTGTAGTCTTTATGATAGTGATCTTTATTTTTGATATAGAAAGATATTCAATCTAGATTATATAAAAGTAGCTTAATTTTATACCCTTTCAATGACTAGGGATTTCTAAGTTAAAAAAAATACACCCCCATATTTTTCCGTAATAAAATAACTTTCTATATGTAAAATAATATAATAGAATGAAATGTCTTTATTTATTTCTTGAATAAATATAAATATAACTTAATTATTTTTTGCATTTATCAATTAAAGATGTTTTAAGATAATATAAGTGTTTATACATTACAAACAAAAAGCAAATATTTCTTATTTATATTTTTTATTTAAAACAGTATTTAGTCCCAAACTATATGTCATTGAGTACCAAATTATTAAAAAAAAAGGTCCTTCTCTTCCATTGATGGTCTTGTCTTCTAATTAATGACAATGGGCTAAAAATTATTTTATTTATTTACTTTAATTTTATATTATTAAATTTTAGACTTTGTGGAAATTTATGCAATCTTATTATCATCAATGTTATTATCTCATTAGGTAAAGATTTTTTTCCCTGAAGAGTTAATACAGCACTATCTAGACCCAAGGTAAGCTTATGTTATGGGTACTAGACAACTGATACAAATACTTAGGATATGTATATTTTGTAAGTACCTGAAGAAGAAGGTGCACCATTCCATTATCATCCATAAGACATCTTATACCTCTAGAAATTCAGTAAATGGTATGACTTTAGTGGTATTGTGGGTATCACATGATAATGTGCTATTCATACACCATCAGGACATCAGGGAGACTGTCAGATTGATATTCCAATTTCATAAAAAAACATTTTCACAGAGAGTTAATTCATGATATAGCCTGTTTCAAACTTGACATTGCCAAAATAATAGAGCCATAAAAAAATAATATAATAATGATCAACCCACAGAGAAAGCCACATAGTATATTAGGAGTTCTGCGGCCATCCATAGATATATTGTAAATGAGTAACTTTTTTATTTCGGACTACTTTACAGCTGTTTGGCTGTAGTTGGCCTTTAGGTATACAGGGGGTGAGTGCAGGAAGGACTTATGGAGCGGTTGAAGGTCAGCTCATGCCTGACGGATATGACTTTAGCCTAAGGGCACTGCTAGGGATTTGAACATTGTCTCAGGCCGTCGTAATTTCGATTCCCATTTGAATTGGACGTGGGATTGGTTGGAGAGCTCCCAACTCTCCAACCAATCTGTTGTTCTGTTATCACATCAATACATAATTTTTTTTTTTCACACAGGAAGAGGAAGAGTGGAAAGAATACGAGGAGCCAGTGAAAGACTACACTGGCCTCAAGATACAGGTGCTACAGGGCGGCAACGGAGCTCCTGAGTCGGGCCGCGACAACAGCTCGGAAGACTCTGCCCCCGAGAACAGCAAAGGCAAAGGGCCATGGAACAAACCTGTAATTGTTTATTTGTTTAAATTTTTATACTTACTATTCCAATTCATTTTATTATATATTGGTCAGACAACTTTGTTTTGATTATGTCTGGTTTTTAGGATTAAAAATAATTTTATATACATTTTGTTGTCCAATATATCTTGATTGAAAATTTTACTAAGGTTTGTTAAACCATGAATTCCCAGATTAACACAAACAATTGTACTCATGGATATGATGTTGACATGTTTGTGGCACTGCTAGGAATCGTACCCGCGACCATCGGAAGTAAGGCGGTCTGTTAAACTGCTAGGCAACAGAGACCGTCAATGTAAATAAAAGATATTTTAATTTGATTGATTTGATCAATACAAACAATCATATTCATGATGTTTGTATCATGTAACAATCTATCCCGCGGATGTCGGAAGTAAAGCAGTATTAGCATACTCTACATACATATCTGCTACATGACATCTTCAATTGTACTGTTTGATATGTTCCAGGTGGAAGTGGAGACACCAGCGCCAGCACCTCCTCCAGAGGAGAAGCCTCGTGAGACCAAACCTGCAACATACGTGCCGCCGGTGTCACGTCGCGTCGTCGAGCCTCTACGTCGGAACCAAGCTGTAAGATTCTCTTCTATAATCTATTGTACTTTCATGGACAATATAATTTGCTTATTTAATTTGGTTAGAGTCCTCCAATAGTCGAAAGTCGGCCATAATTTAAATTATCACTATTTTTACATTCAGTAAGACTATAGACAAACTATTAAAGATAAAGAACATAAACCTATTCTCAATTTTACCACACACTTTAACAATAAACAAAAGGGTATACATGTGTATGTTAGATATATGATAGTGTGTAATGTTTTTCATTTATTTAATGTAGGTTTAATGCACTTCTCGTGCACACTTCTGCAATTTCATACTCTTCCGTCCGCTTAATTTTCGTAAAAAAGGGTTATGAAATTTTTGGTTCATGTATTAATATAATGATAATGTCACTGGTATACCTATGCACTGTTCTTACTTCGCACTAAAAGTTCTATAAAAAAAAAGAACTGCTGAATCATGTTACAAATAAAGATAATGTTAATCACTCTGTACTTAATACAGCAAAATGTTTTATAATTTGAAAAAAAAATGTGCTGCATCATGTTTAAATAGAATATAATGTTGTGTATGCCTTAACACAAAATGTCGGGTAACAGAAGCACGCGCCGGACATCCACAACGACGACTCGTTCCCGGAGCTCGGGCGCGGCGGCGGCGGCACACGGCGCGCCGGATGGTCCGCGCCCGCCGCCGGGGCGCCGCCCGCGCATGCGCCGCGACACCCGCTCGCGCTCGGGAACAGGTTCACCTCGCTGCAGGACGACAGCTAGCCAGGTGAGCATCCGCGCCAGGAAACTGGCTCACCTCGCTGCAGGGCGACAGCTAGCCTAGTGCCTTTGCTAGGTGAGTTCTTTACAGCAGAGAGGACAAACGAGCTAGCCGCTCGCCAGAGAGAACATGTAATCCAATACATTTATTTATTTACCTAATGAAGGAGAATTTCAAATGCATTGTCTGCCTTTAAGAAGGAATTAGCTGTTTTCTTGAAGGTTTCAATATCATATCAGTTGGGAAATACCATTATTTGAAGGTGATTCCAAACCTCCATCGGTACAGTATGAACGCTGTACCGAAATGACTATTCAAAAGTCTTAAGTTTATTTTTTTATTGATTTTTTATTTTTTTGGTTTTTTTAAGTTTATTTGAATAAAAATTATTTCTATTTCTACTTACAATGTATCTTTATTTGATTGATTAATCATATCAATTTAACACTTGTTTTTGTTGATAGGTAGCAGCAAGCAACTCCGCGAAGCGAAGAAGTAAAGTGAAGTGTCAGTAAGGACTTTTAAGCGAAGTCTGGCGCATACATACACATATATATAAGTCACAGTTACAAACAGTGGAATTCCGAATCCCTAACATTGCCAAACTTGCGGCTGTGGACAGTTGCTGTAATAAAAACAATATTCTAAACGTGAATAAAATTTTCTTTCTTGGAAATCTTCGCAAGACTGTAAGCGATATTTCCTTGGCCGTTTATAAAAAATAATAATTATAGACAATAATTATAATGCCTCAATGTGCTTTCGACTCAGATTTGAAAATAAAGAACGTCTTTTTATTCTATATTTTAAAAAAGAATCGTATTTTGAATCTGTGGCGAATAGTATATTTTAATATTGAAATATGGCAACTGTCTGAAAAAAAGTGTATAAATAAAACAAGGAAGTGTTTGCAAAAATAAACTATCGTAATTGTTATTTTTTATGTTTATATATATATATATATAAATGCAGTGTAAGGAATGACGTGGTGGACATTTATAGGAAAATTGGTGAAAAATTTGAAGAGCCGATAATTTGCAGTTGTGTGTAAGATCAGTCAAGCGTGGGTTGTAAGAATGAGGATTTGTATTTATGGGAGTATTTCATATAAAACTAGATGTTTGGGTGATAGTAAAATGAACTGTGACTGTTTGGTTACCTATAATGAACATTTGTTTTATGATGGCTGTTATATTTGTCGGCGAATCATTCAGAACACGTTGTAACATAGTAATAAATTATGTATTTAAACAGATCTATGTGTTTTTATTTATGCATATCTAAATATATAATTATATATTATTTTAAAAAAGTAGGATTTTTTCAATTACCTTAGGTCTTTTTGTAACACCTGTCAACCATTTTTTTTATTTTTTATTTTAAAGTGATGCTTCGTGGTCCCATATAAATTTGACCTACATTTGTCACATAATTTTTAAATAAATAAAATTGCACTTCTTTTATGTAGTTTGTAATTACAACTTAACGCATTGAAGTATATACGCTACTTAATTAAAAAGACATTTTTTTTTCCCGATTTTGGCGGGAGAATCACTCTTTCTAAGCCTAATTTTCCTTTTAATATTAAATAATAATTTAGAGAATATATTTAAATAAAAAGATGTTCAATTCATGCGGACGAAGTCGCGGGTGTAACGGATGTCTTTACCTGATATATGAAAGAAACTATTATCGGAAACGTAGAGCAAGAGCCCATGACGGCCAGACATACGTCTTTTTAGTAAATGTGAAAGTTCTTGTATGTGTGTCCCCAACAAAGGTAAGAATGATCCCCAAACATGAAATCTGGATCGTGGTTCTTTTGGCAGGTAACAAAGCTGTAAAAATTTTCATATAAAATTGGTTATTTTAAAAAACTCCATTCTTTAATATACTGTTCGTAGCAGTATTATGACTTGCGCTTCTCATTGCCAGACATTTAGTATGGTTCCAACCCCTCGCCGGACACCCCCAAAGTAAATTGTTTTATGAATAAACTTACGTTATTTTAAAACAGCTGAAATTTATATATATTATTCAGAGAACTATTAAACTGTGTTTCCTAAATTGCAGGACAGTTTTGTTGGTTCTATCATCCTACCAGACGCATTAAAGCGTATGTCTAGCTGTCGTGGGCTCTTGGGCTAACGGGGCATCAATGAAGAATTAAACATAACTATGAAGTTAGTTTAGTTAGCCCTACATGAATTCATTATAAATTAGCTACAAAGGTTTCGAAGTTGATTGTGTGGAGATCAACCTAATAAGGTAAATAGCTAGCAATGGGGTCGCTGATCTCCGTTACTAACAATTCCTCCCCTTGTGGGTAGGGGCTTCGAGTCGGAACTCACTATTCGTCTTCTCCGGTGGTGGCGATTACCCCCTGGTCATTGGATGTGGTAGGTTGTGATAAATTTGGACAAATACAGAAGGGAAGTAATGGGGTAAAGTGCTTTACCAATTATTTGCCACGTGGTATTTTTTGTCTCGTATTGGAATTTGCAAGTATTAATCTAGATGGCGCTACTCTCGCTACTGTAAAAACGTTCTATCTTTGTTCTTTGAAAATTAATATATTTTGACTATGTTAATTTATTGTTGTTATAAAACACTGTATAAATAAATTATTAATGTGTGTATTTAAGTTTCATTAATTATTTGTAGTAAAAATAAGTAATAATAAAAAATTGCAAATACCTAAAACGCGCTAACAAAGATTTTGCCATAGTAAGTATATATATAATTGTCATTAAACATTTTTTGTACTTGCTTCGGCAGTACATATACTAAAATTGGAACGATACAGAGAAGATTAGCATGGCCCCTGCGCAAGGATGACACGCAAAATCATGAAGCGTTCCACATTTTTTTAATTTCATATTCTTGAAGATGTTTCATTCTACTTTTTGAAAATTCATATAGAATGTTAAATTTCTACTCACTTCTATTTTATAAATACGTAGGTGACTATTAAACAATAATACGTTTATTGAAATAGACGTTAATATTTTATCGTCAATATAACATTACTAATATAAATTATGTACCTTAATTATTATATTTGTACTGTATGTTACATAATATTTCACAGCATATTAAAATCGAACGAATAATTGAATGAATTAGAATTTAAAGGTTATGATTAAGTAATAAACGACCAACTTATAATGATTTAATTAAACATTAAAATATAATAACAATAAAAAAAATGGTTGATCTATTAGTCAATGGTTAGAAATTAAATATAAATTTTAATATATATTACTTAATGATTATGACATTGATGTGACTACAGATCTTCTTGATAAATATTTAATATTTTTTAATCTTTTTAGATTTTATTTTTATAAAAGTCTTGTGTCGAATGTAAAAAATATACTAAGATGACAATAACAGTCTTAATACCAGTAGCAATAAATCATTTATTAAAATTATTCAAGATTTTTTTTAAATGAATGATATATACATACGTTTTAAACAAATACTCGGAACTGTTACAAACACACAGAGTGTTTTACAGACTATATTTATGTATGTATAAATATATATATGTATAGTAAAAAATTATTACTACTTTGTTTCATTGCTTTTTATTTTCTTTGCTTTAATGAATTTTATAATAGTAAGTAGCAGATATAGTATGCGGAGCACTACTTAAAGCACCAATAATTTATTCAGTGTTTCCTTCATGTACAACTAGATGTCACTGCAGTAGATAATCAAATTTTTCTACAACGCGCTATTAAGATTTTTTCTCGTAGAATGACCCGGCTGCGGCTGTGAACGAACGGTAAGACCTTACTTCATAGGATCATTTCTATAGTAAGTTCTCCAACCAGATCTCCCAATATGTGAGGTCACACCAAACCACGATGAGGAGACGTGGCGCGGTGTCCTGAGCGTGAGACTGGCGGTGGTGGTTCACCATCAGCCATCGATGATCGTTCGCTCCCTTCGGGGAGTGTGGGATACTGTCGCTTTCTGAGTGGTCTTTTTTTAAACATTTTTAAAATATAAATCTAAAGTATCTACGAAACGCGTACTTGCAGCCTACTTTATTGCCTTATCGACTTGTCTTCTATTATAGATATTTTAAGACTACTGTGATATTTATTAATTCATAACATAACTATATCAAAATTGGTAATGAAATTATTATTATATATATGACACCTGAGTACTCGGGAATAGCAATGCATGAGCAATGGGCGTCACATGAATATGTTTAATAATGTTTATGAATATAGGCGACGGTAATTATAATTTACCATTATATAAGCCGTCATACAAACGCTTTTCCAGTTATATACAAAAAATGAGAAGTTTCTCAAGTCGTAAATAGGCGCAAGACGATTGTATTTTATATTTAGTAATAATTACAATGTGAAAGATTTACTTACAGTAATAAATTATTCTATTATATTCTGTAATTATATACCTATGTAAGATATTAATAATTGAATAACGTTATTTAACCCTTCTTCATCTTTCGTTTCAATGGCAACTAAATGTATTTTCCCCAGAATATTGCAACGACTTTAGCGCATTTAACCCTAAAAATATAAAAAACGAATCGATATATAAATCATTAGAAAAGGTACATACATAATGATGTGCGCATCTAAGAAAATATATTATATTGTTACTACATAAAATTGATCATCAATTGATTGAATTGTTCAATGAAATTAAGCCTATGGAAGAATAGAAAAAGTATTGTGCGACATATCATTTTTATTATGTGTATAATTATAAGTATGACTAAATCATAATCATTATCATTACTCATCATTACATAGTATAAAATAAATTCGCTGTCGCTTTCTGTCCCTATGTATGCTTATATCTTTAAATATCCGCAACGGATTTTGAGGCGGTTTTTTTATATGTATAATACATGTACACCCCGGGAAAAGCCGGGGATGGGTAGCTAGTATTAAATAAAAATAATATACATCATTGCACGTGTTGTTACTTATATCACAGACAATATAATATTACATACTTAGATCTATTCATCAACAAATCGACATCCTATATTATTGAGCACTGCTACATTTTTTTTCTTATGGATTATAATGGAATGTTGCACCCGCCTGCGCTAACGGTTTACGTTGGTCGGGCATCAGTAGAAGATGATAACATGAACACGAGTTCGGGGCAGTTAGTCCATCAAGTGGTTCCCCCCAGGAATCCCTTGTAAATTCATGGGGAATTTATCATGGATTCCACTTGGAGGTCAATCTAACATGGTACATTGTTAGCAATGGTATTATTACATTATTTAAATTATTAACCGAGTTTTAACATGAATATTTACCTCTCTCGACGTTTCGACTAGGTTGCACTGGCCGTGGTCACGAGCTGACTGGAGCGATGGCAATGTAGATGTTGCATCTACCTTCATGGTAGATGGAAAAAAAAATCTAATGGTATTATTAGTCCACCTTCCTAACAATCCCTCCCTTTCTGCACTGGTTTAATTAGACTTTTCATTATTTTTTAGGATTATAATTCTTGCTCTTAGGCTAGATCATAACAATAGTGATTACTGACTCAGTTGTTATTGATAATTGTAAAAGTTATGTTAGATAACTTTTATTTTAGGATAATTATTGTTGCAATATAAAAAGCCTCGTATAGTATACAATATTATTTATTTACAAGGGCAAACGAACAATAAATTTGGAATATAAGTACCCAATTTAAACAAAATTTATTTATTGTTTATTTTTTTATACTCTATGTTCAATGGAATTAGTTGTAGAAATTACTATTTAATCCGTGGTTTGAATCCAAATATTCACAGAATAAAAAAAAACATATTAAGTGTTATTATTTTTCAAAAATATATATCTATTTATATACTAAAATTTTCTTCCAGCCTTCTTAAATGATCTACGTTGGGCTCTTGAGGTGGACTACTGTGGCTGAGTATGTTATTCTTATACACATCCATTGTTTTCTGTGCAGTGGCCATATTGTTGTATACCTCTCTGGGCACCAATCTATTTTGGGCGGGAATTTTGCCGTTTACGCCTCCCGCCAAATTTATATTGTTCATGAAAACTCTATCGTTCGGATACGTTGTCGATGGTGGAATTAAAAATGGCGATATCTCTGGTTTTGGTATTGGTCTAAATACGTTACGCTCTACAATCTGGCTGTGTGTATTTATGTTCGCTATATTGTTTAGTGACTTCATCCACTGTTGTTGCTGTATGGGTGGTACTCGGTTGGGATAGTTGAAGATCCATAATCTGTCGCCCACAAACATGGGTCGAGGGGCGACTATGCCCAAACTGCTATAATATTGTTGCGCAAGTAATTCTACATCGTTAGTGTATTTTCGTTTCCATTTCGTTCGGCGATTTTGGAACCATATTTTTATCTGCAAATAATTAATACATATTTATTAAATAATATGTCAAAAGTTTTTTGAAATTTAGTTACGCAATAAATTTCTGAACGCACCCTGTTTGACAGGTACGAACAGTTTGCATGGGTAAAAAAATTTTTGTGTTTACTATTTTCCATGCATTTTCTTACCACTTAAACCTTTCTTGGAGTTTTAGAAATATTTGAAAACCAAAATTAGCCAAATCGGTCGAGCCGTTCTGGAGTTTTAGCGAGACTAACAAACGTTATGTTATATTTATATATAAGAAGAAGAAGATTTTATTATGTATAGGTACTTTTTTTTATTACAGTAAGCTATTTTTGGTTTGGTTGAATGGTGAGATATGATAAGAGTAATTATAGAATACAAAAGAATGACACCTTACTTCCTAGAAACGGTAAAGCATGAGGGTGCCATAGGCGTCACCAGACTACGTGATGTTCGTAGTACCACAGATAACATAATATTACATAGTACTGTTCATGTAGGTCTATAAAAGACAGTAGCCACTTATCATCAGGTGGGCTGTCAGGTTGTTCATTCCAGTTATATAAGAAGAAAGTAATAAATAAGCACAGTGTCGGTTGTTTTTCAAAATGGACATCGCCTGTAGTACTTTTTATAAGTAATTTTAAAAAAATCTACTGGACTACAGAGTACTGTAAGTGATATTTTCTTATCTGTGGTAATATCTATAGCTTTCTTTGTAAAGACAACCTTTTGCTTTGCTTTATTAATAAATTACAAACTCATAGCATACATACATACATGAGATACAAATATTACGAGTAATTTCACAAATATTATAAAATTTTGGCCTGTTTGTTGTATATGACTGCAATATTTTTAAAATATTTATAGATGTACACATTGTTACCTGAGTCTCGGTAAGTCGCAGCTGCCTAGCTAGCCGTCCCCGTGCTGCCACAGATAAATACCGATTCTTCTCAAACTCTGCTTCCAGACTCTTGATTTGTTGGGCGCTAAAGGCCGTGCGAGCTCGCTTGCCTCTAGACGAACACGGACCTAGAATGTAAGAAAATGATAAATTCCATGTCTACATGGCTGTGTAGTTAACAAATAGTAGCCAATTGGAGGGAAGGGGATTGTAAGTAATATGGACTAATGGACCTATTACCAGCAATGTACCATGTTAGGCAGAATTCCAGGGGGTTCCACCTGGAAACCATCATTATAAATTCCTGATGAATTTGTCATGATGGGCTAACTGACGTGACTTCATGTATAACTGATAAAATACTTGATCACATGTTTTCTAAATAGATACATAATATTACATAGAAACACCCACCAATACAAATAATCAGACTCATGAATACAAATGATTGCAACGCGAAATCGAACCCGCGACCATAGGCAGGTGTGTGTTTAACCGCTAGACTGAGGACCGATAAATCTTTTATAGGTACACCTTATTATAAATGCTTTGCATCGGTTTTGCTCACATATTAATTTTGTTATCATTCAAGTTTATATCTTTAGAAATCGCATGACGACTTTAAAGCCAGCGGATTTGATATTTTTTCCAATTTTGTTGCATTTTTTATTTTTGTTAATTAATATGGACCTTTTATAGAAAACTAGCTGTACCCGTGACTTCGTCTGCGTAAATCGTCGATATTTCCATGTAACCTTCCATCTCCCCTTTCAACCCTTTACAGCCCCTTTTTTTGGATTAAAAAGTAGCCTATGTCCTTTGTCAGATTCCAGACTATATGTGTACCAAATTTCATTTAATTCGGTCCTATAGTTTTGGCGCGAAAGCGAGATAGATAAACAGACAGACAGAGTTACTTTCGCATTTATACTATTAGTAAGGAAAGGAAGTAAGGATTAGAACTTGAGGCCCTTCTGCACAATGGCGATACAATAGGTCGGTTATCTATCAATACGTTTGAATGAAACAATCGTCCAACCCGGAAATCATTTCCCAGCAAACTTTAGCGCCGTTCAAATCGAAGCGGACACGACACGTCGTCACCTAACAGCTATTTTCAATAAACACCTCCAGAGTGAGTAATTAGTGGCAATATATCAACGTGTCATTCGACTACCGACACCCCGCCATCTTGGATATCATGCGACGCCAGCGCCGTTTAACAACCCGCGAGCGCTCTAATGAGCGCGCGAAAGTAATGACGTTAATTTTTTTAAATTCATAAATACGATCCGACAAAGGAATAAAGTTCAAAGTTCTCTAGCTCTTGTTTTTACGAATGAAATATTATGTTTGTTGGACAGAATTAATGTTCGGGCAATTTATTATATATTCCGGGATCGTTAAAGTAATTTACCAAGGATATACAGTGTCAGAACGGGTTGTATTTCAGTTATAATGATATAATGAGTGTGAGTGTCAAATTTTAGTGTTTTGGAAACGTTTTAAGTGGTTTTTTTTATAGTAAAAAATATTTCGTCCCTGTATAACAGTTTTGTAGCTATTTTCATTTCTTAATGACGCGACGTTAATTTTTTTCATATAGTATGTTTTATGATATAAATAATAGCATATATTTAACTATCTCATATTAATTTTCTTAACTTAATGCTAGAATTACATATAAATATTTTCCATCAGCGTACCTTTTGAATGAACAATAGGGAAATCACGAATGAGCTAGATACTTAATTAATTGAATAACTGAAATCAAAACTATTGCAGCAATGAAGTTATATCTGTGGCAAAACAACTCTAAAAATTCATTTTTTCTCCCAATAGAAAGTTACATTACCAACTATCACGTGGGCTGTATATTAGTTTCAGAAAAATAATGTATGTCTGGAATAAATGTATTAATAATTATAACTATATAGCAACACATACAAGTGTATAACACACATTACGCCCATGTAACGCGAGTCGGTATAAATTTAGAATGATCAAATATATTTTGAAAGCAAAAAGTCAATCAAAACGTTCATAAAAACTATGTGAATAAATTAATTAGCAACTGAAATAAACGGCTTGTATACAAAAAACAAGCGCGCAAAACCACTTTGACAGTAGTAAAGCAATTAATGTCAATTTATCGTCACTTGTCAGCGAGCTATGTCTTTGTTTCCCGCCATTGTGTAAAAAAAAAACAAACGATGCTTGCTTATAATTCACTGTTAATTTTTATATTAACGCCCTAATCACTTTAAGAATAGAGTATAAATTTAAATAATTCCAATTTTAGGGAACGGAAAATTGAATATGTTTCGTTCAGTCACTCTCCCATCCGTTTTCTTGTAATAGAATTTTACAGCTTTTTAATGAGCTTAAACCAGTAACTAAATTTCAGTCGGGAGACAGTTCTTTTCATGTCGTGTAGTTTTTTTTCTTCTGAACCAGTGAATGATTACGGGGGAGAGAGATTTAGCTAACGAGACTCAAAACGGCAGCGAGATTTATCTTTTCGTAACAAATTTAGAAAATGAGACATCACTGCTCACCTCTGACTAGGGTTGCCGCTTTGAATAAAAGTTTCTTAAAATTCTAACTTTAATCTAACATTTATTTATTTTATAATTATTTTATAAATATCTAACAATTTCTAGCTTTAATCTTATTTTAAACTTTTTTACTGAAGTAGTAAAATGAAAGTAAATTTTACCAACTCGTACAAAGCAGTTATTGATTTATTATTCATGAATTTGTCCCCATTGAAAAATGTCGGGTGAATCAGGACACAATCAAATAAAAATTAAAATAGATTGTCTATTTTAACTTTTATTTGATTATATCCTGATGTTAAGATGTCAATTACGACAATCTCACGTAATTTCGGAGTTGGGAACCCTACCTGACGAGTGTATGTAATTTATTTTTCAGTGTGTGCGCCGGACGTCAGGAAAGCAATTCAAACGGCTAATTTGAGTTTGGAACAGAAAATGTTTGGAGACTTAATGGTTGGCAGATAATAAATATTATTCGCACTATCGCATTTTTCTTCTCGATCGCTCATTAGAGCGAGTTATTGGTGAGGTTAACTAGAATAAATTTTGAATATATTGCATATTTTTCGGTTTTGGCAACACTGTGAGGATTTTTATTAGACTTTTGTTGTGTTTTATTGTCGATTATATTATTCACCTTCACATGGTACGTCTGTAGAGTTACGTGCTAGATATGTAACACGACAGATAACATTCATAAAAAACATACGTATAATTACTAGCTTAACTACACTACTGAGTAAATTAATATATCTACATCAAAGTAAGCATACAACGACAAAAATACAATTCATATCCACTTTATGTAACAATCTAAAATTATATAATATTTATAAGTACTCATTAAGGTGCTACGTATAACTCACTTTTGGTTTGCCTTATCTTCCCGGGATGCTCAAAAGTTCTTTTGTTTAAACAAAATATCTAAATATGTCAATACTTTATTTCTTTTATTTATTTGAAATGGCAAGCTGAAGGTTATCCTGATGGTAAATGGTAACCGTCGCTTATAGGGGGAAGAGGATTGTTAGTAATGTGGACTAATGTCCCCATTGCTAGCCACGTACCATGTCAGGTTGTCCTCCACGCGGTACCCCCTGGAAACTATCGCGATAAATTCCTGGTGATTTTGTCTTGATGGGCTAACTGATTGACTGATTCGCCGTATCATTCTCCACTGGTGCCCCGCCAGCGTATACCGTTAGCGCAGGTGGATGCACCATACCATTATCATACACAAAAGCCGTCGCTTACACACACTAACGTGTAATGTCATGTAACACTTGTGACTTTACTTATGGGAATGCGTGGGTCGAATGGGATTGTTAGTAATGTACTAATGAATTCATTGCTATCATTGTACCATGTCAGATTAACCTCCACGCAGTTCCCCCTGGAAACCATCATGATAAGTTGGTAGTGAATTTGTAACGATGGGCTAGTTAGCCCATCGTGCATGAGGTCAGGTCAGTTGACCTGACCTCATGCTTACTTAATTATCTACCACTGGTGCCTCGACAGCGTACCTAAACTGTTAGCGTAGCGGCAGTGTCACCATACTATTATCGTCCATTAAAAAATAAACACTTATGCCACAGATAACATAATATTACGTACATAATATAGAGTTGCCATTTTAAAGAAAAAATATGTCACTCCTCTTAACCTCACGCTACAACCGAAACAGCTTACAAAGCAAGCTGCTTAATGGCTAAAAAGTAAGTCTAGAAAATTAACTAACGCAGAGGTATACACGTAGACTCTTTTTAATTAATAAATATCTCAAATTGGTGCAATTGATCTGAAGTTTTTTCTTCTCATAACGATACGCTATCACTCTCTTTATAGTATTAGTAGCTATAATTTATATCGAGAATTAGTATGTGTTTGGTTGTGTTGGTGTTTGTACCTGAACATTATGTAATGTAAATTATATAAAAATATACCACATTACCGACTCCATTCCACTTTTATCTTCTAAAGAAACCTGTAACACTATAATTACAGTTTCATACTGCAATAATATAAAAATAGAGGGTAAAAAGAAACATGAGCAAAAATAAGCAAGGTTTTAAGAAATTATCAAAATTCTTAGGTGTTATAACTATCTATTACTTTTTGTACATAAATTATACGTGGTACTTATTTATAACTAAATTAATACCAAATTATTTTTGATAAATTACTGTATTTTCGTATATTTACGGGGTATAATTGTCTTTTTTTTGTGTTATTTTCTATATTTTCTTGTAACTTTTAAATGTTCAAGTGCAATGCCAATTCAGTATCAGGAATTTTAGGGCGGTATAACGTCCACAGATGGTTGTACTCTACAATAGAGCTCTCGTGACTTGGATCTAAATTGTTAAGACGTACTCCATCTAAGGTGTTAACTCTAGAGAGTCCAACGTAAACCTGCCCTTTATTAAAAATAGAGGAGCCTATGTTGAGAAGAGGACTGCCAAAACTAAGGCCTTATGATTTGTGGATAGTAATAGTATATGTTAAGCAAATACGGAATTGTTCTCTTTCAACATATACATTATTTAATATCTGAAACTTCGTAT